TGAGTTCTGGGCACTTTGATGGGATCTTCAATCGCAGCCCCTTCCCTAAAGCTGCTGTGATTCCTTCATACGTCAGGTTTTTTTGATTGTGTCGTGATATGGAATGTCGCCAAAAGAAAAGATCTCCCATATGACCACACCGAAGGACCACACGTCGGATCTCTCTGAGAACAGCCGTTGCTCTAAACTTTCTGGTGCCATCCAACGAGCGGGAACCATAGCGCTCTAAAAGTTTATTTGGTTAAAACGCATACCTTAACAGAATAGAGTTTACTGGGCAATAGCCGCCATAACAACAAAAGTGCAAGCGCCGGCACACTACTTTACAGTTAAAATTTAAACAACCAAAACAAACAACCAAAAAAAAAACAACCAAAATCTTTATCCGCCCGCGGGTTAAAAGGCAACGTACTTAACACAGCAGTAGCATTTCCCTTAACGACAACCAAACTAAAACGTTGCTTCATAAAAGCAGTAGAACGCGCTTCTCCAGTTAATTCACGAGTTTTACGGCTCATAAAATGTACAAATTCACTTAAAGCTAGGCCAATATAACAGAGGCAGCCATAAATCGGCTGTCCGTGATGATCTCAGCGAGGGAGGGCGGTCAGATGAAGATCCTGTCTGTTGAGGAAATTCCGAAAAATGGCGATGGAGCGGAATCGAACCGCTGGCTACCGAGTGAGATCCACGTAGCACAGGCCACAGCCACTGTGCCATCGCCGCTGTTGGCGAAGATCAAGATATTTGTGCTTGAGCTTAAGCCAACCAGGTAGGCGGCGGATTGGCTGCTGCTGTGTCTAAAGAGGATTCTCCTCTTACACCAAAGACACCGAACGTTTCAACAACTAAGGGATAGAACAGCTACTTTCCAGTGGAGAGTACTTCTGTCGCTTCTCACTTTCTGCCAGGTGAGCCACACTTCCTGCCTTCTTCGAACTTCCGTGGACATGGGAAGTACGTGTTAAGTACACTGCCTTTTAACCGCGGGCCTTAACAGAATTAAATTAATTTCAGCTTCAAGTTTGAATTAATGTGGACTTTACTCTTATTTAACATTTAAAAATAGGTGGTGGCTATTCGCCAGAACATATACTTCGCCAAAAACAACTTGCCAACTTTCGTGCTGTATAAAATACACTTAGTTTGTTCTTTGTACCTGCGATTCTTCCATCCGGTAGTAATCAGGTTTCTGCTTGGCCAGTCCGAAATCGCAGATCTTCAGCACCTTCTTGTCCCATACCAGAATATTCCGCGCGGCTAAATCGCGATGGATGATGTTATACAGCGCCAAGTGCTCCATGCCACGGCTGATCTGATAAGTGAAATTAATCAGATCTTCCGTTTTCAGGGCCATTCTTTGGGGATATTCGGTTCGCGGCCAGCCACTGTAAATTTCTCCATGCCCTCGTTTAAATAACTGTTCTCATCGGTTCTTCTCTCGAATAGTTCGTCGTGGAAGCGGAGATACTTAAGTAGACTGCCGTGTGGAGAGAATTCCAGAATTATATGAAGTTGACCTTTGCGCACAACCAGATTAGTGTCAAAACAGTACGTCCCAAAGTACCGTTTATAACCAATTAACATTTTACTCGTACAATTACACTTGTTTGTTTTAAACCCGAATTACCACCGACGACCCTATAAAAATTTTCCTTTATAGTACGTTGAAATAACGACATTACCGCTGAGTGTGATGCCCAGAAGGTTGACAATATTCACATGCCGGCCCGCTTTACTGCGTACCGTCACCTCGTCCATCAGCAGTTTGTGCTGATAATCATCAGCGGAGTTCTTGACGCATTTAATCACCACGACCGACGGGGACGGCCATTCTGATAAATGATATGCTAATCCCTTCCACACTTCACCAAATTCACCTTCATCAAGTTTCTTATCTAAATGTAAGAAGCAAAGAGACAATAACTGCAGGTAGAACAAGAAAAACAGTCCACTTTTTTTGTACGAGGTGCCACCGTTTAAGAAAATCTATCGAGCTAATTCACCCACTCCTCGTACCAAACTGGAGAGAGGCTCTTGGAATCTTCAGTCTTGCTGCCAATGGTGGGACTTTCCACGTCACATACTGTTCCTTAATAAGCTGAATTCTGGAGTCGTCCACTTCGCGGACGACATCGCAGAACACTCTTTGCAAATACGCTGGCTGCGTGGAACTGACTGACGGATAGCGACGCCGCCAACACCACACTCCGAATAGCGCAAACACCAGCGCCAAAACGCCAGCCAACGCTAGCCACATCTTCCACTGCGCATCCACCAGAGGGTCCACCGATTCGTTCGCTGGACTTATCGATGTCCCCATCGGATTCATTGAAGTCAACGGTAACAGTGGATCCAGTTTGCGCACCGCGATGTAGTCCACTAACAGTTCTGCTTCCGCATTCACCGGATACCGTTGCGGGGAAACATCCAATTCGATTAAGATTTGCATGGGTGTAGACGGGATAATCGCGGCATCGGTTAGCCGGCGAATCTCCACATCGTCCACATACCAGTGCATACTGTCGCTGCCCCATCTGACTTTAAAATTGTGAAACTGCCCATCCAGGAGGTCGTTACGACCCGTTTGGATCCAGGAAGTTTCCTGGTTCAGGTAAAACACACCGACTTTCACGCCGTTGGGTTCGCCACTCTTCAAATGTGCCACGGAGATGACTTCGTCACTGCCCGCCGGCGACTGATCAAACCGGCATTCCGCGTCAATTAAGCGAAATTTAGATGTCAATAAAATTCTGGGATTTGCCGGTAGTTTTGCTTGGAATTCAATTTCCCCGTAGGTGAAATTGAAATGCTGGCCGGAGCTGATGTGGCTGACGTAGTAATACGCATATGAGGCGCTGAACGCTGTGCTGCGAGCCTGCATATGCAGAAATCCATCGGAGACCCACACATTCTCGTGTCTGGTATATACCGTGTACCGGTACGGCGTGTAGAATTTCTCTGTTTGGACATGATTGCGTACGTTCCATTCACTGCGTAGCGTGTGGTTGCTGTCGAAGTCATCACGAAACGGTTCTGTACTGGTGACATCTGCAATATTCGTATTACCGAGTATTCGGATTTTGCTCGTAACCGGTGCATGCGGAGTGCTGGTTTAACTGTGTTCTGTGATATCATTTTCGACTAACAGTGCGGCCGTGCCGAATTTTTATGTTTAATACGAGTACACCATACACCTTATTCATAAGTCATCACAGAGTATGCAAATGCTACAAAATCAAGGTACTGTACTGAATCCACTATAAATCTAAAATAACAAAGAAATACACTGATGTTGTAATGACGTTTTTCCACTTTTTGACGTACTGGTACAAGCGTTTTCGTCGTGGTACTCGGCTGCATTATTTCCATTGACAGCGGTTCTAAGCTCGGTCGGGCAAGTAAAACGTTCCTTCCAATGCCCTTCGCAAGCCAAATAGCGGGATACATAGCCTCTCAGGGCACGGCAGCGGATCTATGCGCTAAATTCCTTGCCGGGTGGTTTGGTCTATTACAAACCACTCGTTTTGTATCTGCTGTTGTGGAGGAATCACTGTTTATTCGTACATTTGCCAGGGTGTACGAAACAGGAACCTAGGCGTACTGAATACAAATCCGGGTTCAACGCCGTACCTTATAATTATTATCATTTTAATTTTTAAAATGATAATATAATATAAGTACATTAAAATTTGACTACTGTACACTGTACATACACTACTGTACACTGTAAATTTAAGTACTGTACACTGTACATTACGTACCAATCACGAGAGTGTACTGGAATTGGATTTGATGGCTCCTGTCGACGGTCATGTTTCCCCGAATTAAATGTAGTACTAGGGTAACATTATGGTAAAAATACGCAGTCTGAAACTGTCCCACACTGGCGGCCGAATTATCCACATCGTGACGGATGACTTTCAACAGTGGTCCGTATGGGCCGTTAAGCCCTTTCTGGTGCACTCTCAGTTCATCGTCCTCCGGCATCGTGGATTCCCTGCACGTAGGTCCCAACTATTACACCGATACCTATCTTATTCTTTGTCAGCTGTAAACTTTGAAATGCTGGAAGTTCTCGACCGGCCTTCAATGAATTGTACATTTCATGAGCCGAAGTATTCTAAGCAGGATTGATTTGATTCTTAATCATGAAGTATGGGCAGATATTATGTAATGCGACTACAATTTTTACCACTTTTTACTACTACATATCTGGGTTGCTATTGCCTGTTCACGTACGTATACACGATTGCGGTTAGTGATATCGCCCTCATGTTGGTGACGGTGAATCGTTTTAAGAACTTATTAATTAATCATCAACAGAAAGCAGAAAGTACCTTTATCTATCGTTTAAAGTTTTTTTGCGTTTAAACACTTTCTACCCGTAGGTGGGGGTTATGTAGCCGGTAGCATACCGGATATTAACATAAACACTGCATAATCCATTGATGGCAGGTGGCGCGACAATCGTCATGGACCGTACAGGATTGCTCCGGATAGTTGAATAACATGAAGCTGCCGCCGTATCTGCCAGTCTCCTTAATCGTCAACGACTCTTTATTACAGTACCATTCCAGCAGATCTTCGGTGGTACCTGAATCGCCGAGGATTCCAAGCAAACTGATGGCCAAAGCAATTGCTGAGGAAACTATCATGTTATGTTGGCAGTTGTAGCGGCTGCCGACCTCCATAACGAAAGGGATAATACTGTTAAACTGACTACGATAATACTGCAGAGGTTGTACGAGTAAAATACATACATATTGTACACTAGAGAAAGCAAAACAGGATTAATATAATGCGCATTACACGTGCGATGTTAATTATTTTGAAAGTGTTCATGGTCATATACAGCCCTGCCGCGCCAAGTTTGGACAGTTTAGTCAACATTTTTTCTCTAGTCACCACCGGTGCTAACTAACGATATTTTTTGTGTTACCTATGCAACTTTTCCTCCTGCATTTAATGAAATTAAAAGTTTTGAATTTACTTCGGCAATGCCTCGGGAAACTGCTCCCGAGGCGAAGGCGTCAGTTGTTGCGCTCTTGTCAGAAGGTTTGTCCCTGAGGAAGATTCAGGAACGCCTTTTGACGCTTGGAATTGTAATCAGCAAGTCGACCGTTAGCAACATCAGCCATGAACAAAAGAGAATCGCAGCTGGCTGGACGAAGCCCGCAAAACGGCTCGGCGCGCAAAACCTCCCTTCTTCCCGGACAAAACCCGTAATCGCAAAGGTCAAGAAGGCTGTGTCCAGGCAGAATCCAGAGACGCAAACAAGGATTGCTAAGAGACTGGGGATAGCACGCAGTACAATGCAAAAGATTCTTTCTGAAAATCTTCAGCTGAAAAGGAGGAAGAAGCGAAAAGTTCACGTCCTCACTGAGAAGCAGAAGCAGCAGCGCTACGATCGGGGAAAGGTGTTCATTTCCTATCTGGGGATGTTCAAAGTCCGGATGATATTTACCATGGATGAAACATGGGTCACATTAGATGATTTTAATGTGCAAACGGACTTTTACTACGCGGGCGGGGAAATGGAAGTGCCGGACGACTGGAAGAAAAAGCCAACTAAGCGCTGGCCACAAAAAGTCATGATTGCTGTTGGAATTTGCTGGAACGGAATGTCGCGGGCCTATTGCGTGGATGGAAAAGCCAAAGTAGACGCAAAATACTTTGTGAACGAGATTTTGTCAAAAATGGTCAACTATGATATCCCCCGGCTCTATGGCGCCCACGCGAAGGACGTCATCCTCCATTTCGACAACGCCCGTAGTCATACTGCAAAGGTCACGCAGCAGTGGCTGAAATCGAACGAGGTAAAGTATGTTCCGCAGGAACATTGGATGGCCAACAGCCCTGACTTATCTCGGTTGGACTACGGAATCAGTGGAATTTTTAAGCAAATTTTTGGTGGCAGGAAGGCTACCACGGTGGGTGGGTTGAGCCGAATTGTGAAGCAGGTGTGCTCTAGTTTTGATCTCAGTGTTATTCGTAATACTCTCCAATCGTGGAATCCCCGAGTGCAAAAGATGTTGGATACCTTTGGTGATCATGTAGAAATTTAATAGTTATTTATTTACTAGCGTGTGACCTATGGGAATTTTTTTTAAGAAAGTGTCCAAACTTGGCGCGGCAGGGCTGTATCTGTATGCGTATACGCTGCGCTTTGCTGAAATTCCGTTAAAACTGCTACTGTATAAAACTGTGTACATGAATTGTCGCAAGCATTTTACAGAGAACGCTGTCGTAGCGTGCATCATAGACAGCAGGTAGTTATCAAGTACGAAGGAATGTTTGTTGTTGAAAAAAGTGGTGCATCTCACTACCCTTGTGAGCAGGCATGGTTAAAAGTTGATGCGTGCTTTCAGGATGTTTACTCGTACAGTAATCGCTTAGTATTGCTCTGGAAAACCTAGATCCACATTTTTGACAGCATAATTCGGACGTCACAAGGCGGACCGAAAGAAAATCAGCCACAACAGCAGCGGAAGTAACTGTTACATCAGCTGGTTTGCGTGTACATACGTATGTACTCTGTACAAGGATGCCTCATAAAAGTTACTTTGTTAGAAATCCTACCATTGCACGCAAACAGCATAATGAATGGCAAGGAAAAGAAGGAATTCTAGGTTATTTAAATTTAACGCTGATGGTGAAAAAGTTTAAAAACTCGAGAAATTTAGCCTATATTTTCCAAAAACACTTTCAAGGATTGGTTTGTTCGCTTGAAAAGTTTTGCGTAAAAGGCGTGCGACGAGTGATACTGCCAGCTGGATACCGTCGTGATGCAAAAGTAAAATAATTTGTTTTAAGCGCGTGTACAAGCCGGTCCAGATGATGAGCACGTATAAATACAGCAAAAAATACAGCTTCGTGGGTTACGCCAAGCTACGCAGTCTGGCGCGCCACGCCACAATGTCTATGACTTACGAGTACGCGTTACATACGTGCAACTGTGCGAGTTCCATGGTGCTGGCGCAGGATGACCGGAGGGACAGTGTGGCGTCCAGCGGCAGATGTGATCATACGCATGGTCTAACCGACCGGTGTGCGTAAAAAGGCAAGAGTGACGAGGTATGCGTAGCACCAGCATCGGCTGACTTAGATGAAATGCTCTGTGTGATTAGGCCGCCTATTTACATTGGTCAGCTGAGGCTGTGTTGAGTGTGTATTCAAAGCATATTTTCACTTTTAGAGGGAACTTGTGAATGTATCGTATCGCCAATCCGAATAAAAGTACAGCCATGCGTAGTATGCCAATACGTTGCACGAAGACAGTAAATTTCTTGTTATTATTATTACGTACGTCGTAGTTCACGCACGGTTTACCTGTTTTTATCTAAAGCTTCTGATTGCTGTTGCTATCAGCGATTCTGTGGTGTCAGTTATTCTGAGAATATTTTTGGTCTTAATCTTGTCACATCTGTGCGCAGTGTGTGCAGATTAGATAATGTTGGCTGGAGAGTCTGTAGTGTGTGCAGTCCTCAGATCATGATTAAAGGTCACCGGATCCTGAGTGACCTTCTTATTACGACTTTAGTGCGTACCTGCAAGAAGTTACCGAAATTATCGCCCCGGGGCGTCCTAATAAGTTGCGGCGCCGCGCTTTTTTAAAGCGTTGTCGTTACACTCTGAATGTCACATCTTGTTGAGTTACAGTAGTTCAATTCCACTTAAGCACACCCGTTAAACCATGATTTGCTAGCAAATGCCTTGGCATCTAAATTACTGCTACAATGTCCAACACATATAAATCTTGTTAAAACTTAAATATCATGAGCGTGTTATTTATTTAAAATACGTATCTCCCACATAAGTGTGCTTTCACAAGTAAAAAATAAGTGCTTACTGGCATAATCAACAACTTGCAAAATTTATCAGGTACATTACCGACACCTATATGGCTACGCTTCGGTTACACAGTGCCCGCAAAAAGCGAGTGCACTTTCCTGGTAGATTCTGGCTTGGATAATGTAAAATGTCAAAACTTTGTTACGACACGGCCGTCTGTGGGGCCTAGGTCGAATAGCGGTTTTTCACACTACCCAAATCGTACACTGTTTAGTGTTTACTGCCACTCCAACATGCATGCTGAATCGGTAGAAATCCAACTTAGCAATGCAAAAGATTGCAAGCTGGCTTTGTTTAATATACCTAACTTCGTATACGGTATATATCTCCGACCTTAACGGTTGATTGCAGCGTTTCTACGATTGAGAGTACAGTTAAATAATTTGTTAACAAGTAAAATATTAGATTGACCCATGCCACTTCCCCTTGTTTGAAATGTGGTTCCTTTGATATCCGTCACGATCAGAATTCTACCAGCAAAAAATTGTGTTCGTGCCGCATGTCGAAGGAGGCACATTCATTGCGTTGATTACCTTGGGGTTATGGCATTCAAAGAATGGATTGACAAGCAGCAATAGGCGATGTTTGTAATAAGCCAGTTGCAGACAATGGAGCAAGTATCCTTTGGGAATATTAGGGAACCAAGCCGACTTTGCGGGCGGTGATTGCAGTAGCGGCCGGAAGTTTAGCCAGTTGTGATTTCAGTCGCTGGGATTCTAGTCGCAACCCTTTCTGCAAGGGGGCTACATTCTTGGTAGCTGCATTCTTGGTACTATAACCGTGGACTGTGAAAGAGTCCAGGACGGAAGCCCAGACTGACAGGACTCCGTGTAATGTAGAACGTGACGTACTAGGGATGAAATGCACAACGCACGATATCCAGTCTACGTTATACAATTTAATAGCGTTCTCGATCATGGATCAAAACACACTGACGTTCAGACTGCTCAGAGAGCCCAATTCCATCTGCTCTCGGCAATACACAATGTAACACACAGTGAACACAATGAACGGCAGTAGCCGACCAATCAGAGAAGCGCTGCGTCACAGACGGCAATTCCCCACGGAGTAGTGCAACGAAGCACTCCCATCATTCCAGTAGCGTCACGCAGGTGGACGCAAGGGAGCCATCGCCTCACAGTACTCTCACTGCATTCTTTGTAGCGCTAGTAGGAGACGAGGATGTTACGATTTTGGATGATTACTGTACAGACGCACCATACTAACACACTAGTCTATACTCTATACTGTATACTGACACCATACTAACGCTGCATACGATAAAATTAATGGTTACATATCATATTCAGCGATAGCGGTGTTACTGTGTTAATAATGTATTTACTGCATTTTTGTGTGGACGCTGCTTTAGTCGCGTGAATAATCGTTATATACGACAAACTGGTTCGAAAATAAGATAAACAGAATTCCTTAGTCACCGGCACCACTCTATACAACGTAGGACTAAACAAATATGTACTCACAGATGCGCAAACAAACTCTTCTTTGTTCTACGTAACTCAGTAATAGCGATTTATGCGCATTGGATTTGCCCCTGTAACCCTGTTGCACGGTTTTTGTTGATTTTGTTGCTGAATTAAATTAACCTTGAATTCGCGATGTGGTTCCGGAGTGCAGTGATGTGCGAGGTGACTTCCGCGTGCGGTTTTTGGAGTTTGAAGTGTGCCGGCATGGCCGAAGGTGCGCAATTGCAGCTGAGGATCTTACCTGTGGGTACAGGTCGCTCACTGCCGGCACCCTCCGCCGGTGCCCGGTTTCTTCGCCCCCCTTTATTGAACTTAAGGCCAAGGCTAGTTCGGCTTAATTCAGATGAAGAAGGCCGGTTTTATAAGTTTTTTAAAATCGTATCTGTTTCTCGATGCATCTGTCTGTCCAGTTTAAATCGAGAAAAATTCACAACTTAAAACTGGTAAGATCGGTTTACAACACACAGTTTAAAGTTTGAATCGAAAAAATCACGCTTAAAAATTAACTAGTCTGCAGGGAACCATACAGAATTTTAGATAAACCACCCAGAAAATCGTAAACGCAGTTCTCTTGCACCTTGCGAGGGCTTTTTTTGATAAGAAAATTTTAAACTTCAAAAACTTGAAAAAACACTTTTAGGGTTTTGATTTCCGTACATAACTTGAGTAAAAACGATTTTTTTCAAAATCGCTCTCGCAATTATACTTCCATGGTTTTTCTTAATCCAGCACATCAAGTTTGAAAATTTTGTTATATCCCCTGAATTAGGAGTTAGTTTTCAAACTTTATTTGGTGCATTTTGAACGGTAGCTTTCGAAAGTTCAGGCAAGTTTACATCAGTCAAAGGCACGTTGACTGTTTCAGCCCACCACACAAACCAAACCATATTGACTGTCCAGACAGCCGATTGTTCCCTTCCTACCACACTTCGGTGTGATCAAAATCTATTGTCTTCGGTGTTTGCTTTCATTCCACTGACCAGTGCTCGGTTTTATGGCTGTCAGTAAAACAAAAGATGTGGATCATAATTCTGCGTTCTCCATTGATTTCATCGCAGGTGCGCTAACTTACATAAGCGTTTGTAATGGTAAGCCGGGCCAGTCACTGCTTGCACCATTATTCAGTTTAGGCAGCTAACTTGAAAAATTCATATTTGATAACCCTGCAGTTTTATAACTTTGATAATGTTGCCATCTAATAGAGCAGTCTTCAATCTATACAGCTGCTTCTTTTTGCAAAATGGCACCTTATGATTAAAGCCGAACTAGCCATGGCCTTAATACAGCAGACATACAAGACCTTAACGGTGAAGAGAATAACAAATCGTGCCAGAAGGGCGGTGGGTGGTAATCGAAAACCGAAAGGAGTAAGGAATGATTTTAGCGTAAATGAGCGACAGGAATGAGCACACACTATTAGCAAAGCAATGCATAGCACACGGCCCGGTGCCGGTGCCGGTGAGTACATGGAATTGCGAATTCAGCGGTAATTGAATTTCTGCTAATCCTTAACTGACATTTTTAAACCAGTAATACCACAGGTCGTTCGCGCCAAGTGTGGACAGTAACAAAAAATTCCTAGCTGCTACCGTTGAACCACAAAATGCTTTCGTTGCTTTTGTATAATAGATTCTTATCGCAACACAAAATGGACCTACGATAGACGGTACGATATACGGTAGGCTCTTCTACGTCATCACGGCGTACCCTTACCGGACCGTTTGACGGTAGGATTGACGGTAGAAGGCTGAGATATCGTAATGCCTACCGTTGACGTCTGCGATATAGCAACCACCCTCAGTGGCAGTGGCTTGAAGCATAACGTTTGCAGCTGCCAAATCACGGAACTTTAAAATTGTTCTGATAGATTTTAATTGCTGTTGATTCATCAGAAAATCATATTAGAAGAAAGATAAATTTCTAAGGAGTTTTTTGATACCAAGCGAGTGCAGTATATCTGAAAACGAACGATTCTGCAGCCATCTGAATTTAGTATGCGAAGCTTACGGAGCCGTTGGAGTACTCCGCGCGAGTTGTCATTTAAACTCCATAGGCGCCTGTGTTAAAATTCGAATGCTCGTAGAAAGATTCATGGGCTGTTAAATCTGGATGTTTTGGTATCAAAAAATAGTTTAGAATTTTAGTTTTCATCGAGTTTTCAATTGAACGATTGCTACCATCAGCCAGAGCCTGAAGACTGATTTGAACCGCATCATGTTTCGTGTCAGAGGCAGGATTGGACCGTATCGTTTACCGTCTGCGCGTTGCGATCACTCTACCTTATCAACGGTACGGTCACGATACGGTGGCCCACCGTATCGTATACCGGACCGTATATCGCGACTGTGGGGCGATAATAATCTAATAGTTCTTTATATGCAGCAACTTTCTTAGTCATATTTCTGCACTAGAAGCCAATATGCTGGGATCGGGAGCCAAATTTTGACTTTCTAATTTTTCACAAAAATCGCACTGCTTAATAAGACATATTTATGATCAGTCAGTAATCTTTTAAAAATATGGGTGGTTGAGAACTACCAAATAATGAAGTGGCCTTACAGTGGTACTTTTCTTCCTTCCTTTGAATCGCTAACGCATAGTTTATGTCAAAACTACTTACAGAAATATATTTAAATTTAAATTTATTTTGTGCAACTGTCGACACTTGGCGCGACCACCCTGTACTTGAAATTGCGGTTTGTAGCCTATGTTGTAACATTATACAATTTATGGGTAAAACTGGTAGGCTAAAATTAATGCCTCACATGATACGTACAGGCGTGTAAACGTCGTTCTCCGGTAATGCTGCCGTTTTAGTTTGCTGCAGATGCAATGATGTGACTCATTTATTTACCGACTTGTCACGACACTTCAGGGTGTACGCTGAATCGGTACAAAATTCCGTTGACGGTAACGAAAGAAAAGTTCGCTGAGTAATGCACATACCGTGTTTTTCGAATTAGAAGCCCTGGGCTTCTAAATTTTCGAAGGTGCCTAGGGAGAGGTGTATACAGCAAAAGATGCTTATATTGTGGAGGAGGCTTTTAAATTTTCGATGCATTTAAACGAGCGCTGTTTCTAATTTCTATATCGTTTATGGAGAGCGGCTTCTAATACGGAGAAGGCTTTGAAATTTTCGAACTGTACTGGGGGAGGCTTATATGGTAGAAGAGGCTTCAACTTTTGGAGGAGGCTTTAAATGTGAAAAACACGGTATACCGTATGTAGGTATAACGGTTGAACCAGCTTTCCAAGCCATTGCAATGATTCCACGACTGAAATCAAATTTCGACTTTATAAGCCGGTGCTTGCCGTTCCACAGTCAGTTCTTTATTGTTTTAAGTATTATGCTATGATCGTGGGAATCTCAGTCAACACGACCACGGACACGACTACGGCATTCCCGTAATGCATAACTTTGGTTTGGGGCACGAATATACGAGTACTAGTAATTCTGCTGGTCCAATAGCAAATGAAAATTATATGTTCATGTCTCATATCAAAGAGTGCATTGCATTTGTGGATATCGTTTGTTCCTGTAGTCTGGACTTGGAGGAAAAACACAATACCTGCACGTACTATTTGACACATTCCGGATAAAAATGCCATCTGCCTGTTCAGAGAGGTAGGTCACACCGTGTTCAGAGAGGTAGCTTACACCGTGTCTCACACCGTGTCAGTTCTGGTTACGTTACTTACGTAGAAAATCGAGCTCACACTTTGGGGATTCCGCAACGACGACTTTCAGGTCGGAAGAATTTGCCAGCTGGAGCCATTACCGGATCGGATCAACGTGGCATAATGCAGCGGAAAAGGAGCCAACCTTCGTCTTATTTTGTACGAATATAATGCGAAAATGCTCTACTACGATTGTTTGGCCGAACCACCGAAATTTTTAAGCACGTTACAAGCCGGTCCGGAGTTAGAGCACGATAGAGAAGAGCTAACGCATAATAAGCGCGATGTTAGAGCTTTAGCACGATGGTCACTACACTACGTCTCCAACAATGCGTAAATGCGCTCCGCAGTTAGATTGTCCCTTACTACACCGACTGTTTTCTAGCCACCTTCCGCCAGGCAATTACGACTATACTCATTAAAATATATGGCGTGCACCAAGCCACCAGTCACTCAAAAGCATGCTACGTTTTTAAAGAGCGTGGCGTATCGTGGTGTAGTATGTTGTTTGGCGTAACCCATGAATTTACATTGTTCGCTGTTCTCTATCGTGCTCTATCTTCGGACCGGCTTGTATACACGTTAACTCCATTTGCAATTTCTTGCTCGATGCCTTAATTTGACAGTAATTTATAAAAACAAATTTTTTGCGTGAATCAGTTTTATAAGCGAAAAGGTACAAAACAGGATAAGAGTATAGAAAAAAAAACCATAGGACCATGAATCTGAAAAGCGCATAGCAGTACTGAACCAAATTATTGCGAATCGCTGCTATCCACTGCGATATAATCTTCAGCGTGCTTCATATTGAACACTACATATTGCTTGTTCAAATCCATGTACTCGCACTGTGCATCTTTGCCCACATGCGGCTCCACCTTTTGGCTGAGGGCGCTAAAGCTCGGTCGCTTTTCCGCTTCATACTCCCAGCACCCGCTCATAATTTCAAACCTACAAATTAAGAAAATTTGTTTTGGCATCACAAGAAAAATTAAAACGACCACATAGTATCACAATTTTAACACTTAGTTTCAAAATATCGAATCAACCGGAAAAATACTCGAATGACGTACATTTCTTCCGGGCACTTGGAGGGAATTTTCAACCTCAGCCCTTTTCGTAGAGCGGCTGTAATGTCCTCATACGACAGGTTTTTGATTGTGTCATGGTACGGGATCTCCCCGTAAGAAAAGATCTCCCACATGACAATACCAAAGGACCACACGTCGGATCTCTCCGAAAACATACGTTGTTCTAAGCTTTCCGGTGCCATCCAGCGGGCGGGCACTTTAGCATTCTACAAATTCGTTCGTTATTATATAGTACTAAACTGTAATAGCGCAATAAGTACAATAATTCCTTAATCTACTTATGTACCAGTTAAATAAAGCTAGATTTATTAATCATACCGTATATTTGCCTTAGTATTTTAAAAGTATTAGAGTAACGTTTCTCGTAGTATACGCTTCTCTATTGTACATGCAGTTTCTCCTCATACCTGTGATTCAGCCATTCGGTAGTAATCCGCTTTCTGTTTGGCCAGTCCGAAATCACAGATCTTCAGCACTTTATTATCGCACACTAGAATATTCCTTGCGGCCAGATCGCGGTGAATGATGTTGTGCAGCGCCAAGTACTCCATGCCACGGCTGATCTGGTACGTGAAATTAATCAGATCTTCCGTCTTGAGCGGCCATTCCTGAGGGACATTCGGTTCCCGACCGGCAATCGAAAAGTTGACCATGCCCTCGTTCAGATAATTAGTTTCGTCGGTTTTCCCTTCGAATAATTTCCCATGCAGGCGAAGATACTTCAGCAAGCTACCATGTGGCGAAAATTCCAGGATTATGTGGAGTTGACCTTTACAAACATAACACTGTCATAGAACTCGTCTCAAAGCATCTCTAACTGCACATCATTAGTTGACTTTAAAGTTTATAAAGTTTATGAACACGACTAAAGTTGTAGACTGTAAACCTTAAATCATCACCAGTGATTGTAGTTAGTTGACCTTTATATAGATCCGTACATTGCAGTAAATTTCTAAGTTAGTTGTTGTCTTACCGCTTAACGTGATGCCAAGAAGGTTAACGATATTTAGATGCCGTCCAGCTTTACTGTGCACCGTGACCTCATCCATCAGCAGTTTATGCTGATAATCATCAGCGGAGTTCTTGACGCATTTGACCGCCACGACCGACGGTGATGGCCATTCCGATAAATCGTACGCTAACCCTTTCCATACTTCACCAAACTCACCCTCATCCAGTTTTTTTTCTGAAAGTAAAATCAAGAATCAAACCACAGGCAAGGTAATCAATGCAACTAGTTTCACTTACCAAATTTGAGTGATGTTCGGGGAATTTTCAGTCCAGCCGCAAGTGGTGGTATTTTCCAGGCAATGTATAGTTCTTTAATGTGCTTCTTTCGGGCATCGTCTACTTCATCGTCCACCTCGCGGATGACCTCAAAAAACGCATCGGGAGAATATGCCGGCCGCATAGGATTCACCGGCGGATAGCGACGCCGCCAGTACCACACGCCGAATAACGTAAACACCAGCGCGACGACCGCGGCCAACGCCACCCACATTTTCCACTGCACATCCTCCGAGGAACTCGTCGAGGCACCCACTCCAATAATCGGCGTTGTTGAATTTGGCGCATTCAGCTTGCGCACCGCGATATAATCCACCAGCAGTTCCGCTTCGGCATCCACCGGTTGCGCTTGCGGGAAAATCACCAGCTCAATTAAGATCTGCATGGGCGCCGACGGAATCATCACAACCTCGGTCAGTCGGCGGATCTCCACATCGTCCACATACCAGTACATACTGTCCCGGCTCCACCGGACTTTAAACGTATGAAACTGTCCATCCAGCAAACTGCTTTGACCGGTATGGATCCAGGCTTTTTCCTTATCCACGCCGTAATTCACGCCCACATCCACACGATTAGGCTCCACATTCCGCAAATCCGCCACCGAGATGGCTTGATCACGACACGGACATGGTTCGCTCGGCGGACAAGCCGGGGACTTGTCGAAAAGGCACTCGGCATCGATTAAACGCAACATTGTAACCACCGACATTTTAGGGTCGTCCGGTAATTTCGCTCGGAATTCGACCTCACCGTAGGTGAAATTGTAATGCGTGCCGGAACTAAGATGGCTAACGTCGTAGGTCGTATGGGAGGCGCTGTCCACTTTGGTACGGGCCTGCATGTGCAGGGATCCTTCGGAGACCCACACATTCTGTTGTCCAGTATACTCTGTATAGCCTTTCCCTTTTTTGACGCGGTTGCGCACATTCCATGCACTGAGCCACGTCTGATTGTCGTTGAAATCATCACGATGCGGCTCAGTACTGGAGACGTCTATGATGAAACGGACGCGTTGAACCAGAATAAGAAACCCAAGATATAATCAAAGATATACAGTAAGAAACCCAAGCTTTCACAAGGGTTAAAAAGTTAGCTCTGGCGTTCTTCTGAAAAAAGCTGATGTTATAATTAACTCTGCCAAGTTCTCTTCTTAGGTACAATAATAATTGTGGGTGTGTCCACGAGAGATTATCGAAGTAACAAGTCTAATAACGAAAGTGGCTGTTTTTACAGTTACGCTTTATTACGTACCGGTACATGCTCTTTCGTCATGGTACTTGGCTGGATTATTCCCGTTGGTAGCGGCCTTTAACTCAGTAGGACAGGTAAAACGATCTTTCCACTGTCCTTCACAGGCCAGCTGGCGTGATACATAGCCTTTCAGCGCACGACAGCGTGTCCACGCGGTAGTATCGTTGCCGGTTGGTTCGTCTATAACAATCAAAATTATGGGTTACCCATAATTTTTGGTGAGATTCTTAACATTTTTGGACCCGGATGTGCACTGAACAGTGAGTGCACATCCGGGTATTCATATTAGCAGCGTAAACTAACCAATCACGAGCGTATATTGGAATTTGATCTGATGGCTCTTGTCGACGGGTTTTGCATGGCGGGTCAAGTTCAGCATCAGTGTGACATTGCGGTGGAAATTCGCCGTCCGAAACTGCCCCACACTGGTGGCCGAATTATCCACATCGTGGCGGATGACTTTCAACAGCGATCCGCTGCCGTTCGCTACGTGCTGGTACACTTTCATTTCGTCATCTTCCGGCATCGTGGATTCCCTGGAGAGAAGTCGTTAATATTGCAACGGTATCTTTTTTTATCTTTCGTGACTTAAATGGTGGAAGTTTTTTTGGCCGGCTTTGTGCGAATTGACACATTTTATGAGTAGAAAAAATTAGTGAATTAAGGGTAAAGCGCGATACACTGCGCTTCGTAATATTTCAACATAGCAGTTCTTAAAAAATATGCCGATGAGCAATTTTATGTCAAAAAGATTACAGATGATACGAAGTTTTGGTTATTTCTTAATTGTAAAACTGCTATTCAGAAACCATGATTCATAGTTACTAGAATTCTTAACCGGTGCGGTTAGTTAACGTCGCTGTATCAATCAAATTAATCTAAATAATTTATTCAGTACATTAGCGGAAACCGGTAACATTGCCTGGAATTACATGTACTTATGTCAAATATACGTTCATCAAGCGTTTGAAGTGCTTATTGATCTAAGTGCTGATTTGTGCATTGTGTGACTCACACGATGTTAATATATACACTACAGGTCCCATTGATGGCAGGGGGCGCAACAATCGTTACTACCACCGAACAGGATTGCTCGGGATAGTTGAATAACATGAAGCTGCCACCGTATCTGTCATTCTCGATAATCAGTGGCTCTTGATTACAGTACCGCTCCAGAAGGGGATCGGTTGTATCTGAAAACCAAAAGTGTTTTATCAAACAACCGACACGACAAGTACTGCAGAACTAACCTGTTATGTTGACTGGAAAAGCAGCCACCGGCGGCCATAAAGAAAGACTCAATATGGCAAAATTTATTAAAATAAAACCGCGGAGATCGTACGAGTAAGATATATACATATTGTACACCACAGAGATTAAGATGCGGTTAATAGCAAGCGCATTACATTAATGCTGTTTAAATGTTAATTAAGAAAGTGTGCATAGTGGTAAATCTATTACACGTTACGCTACGCCGTCGACTTGATTAAAGCTACCATGCAACTGTGTAAATTGTTGATTACTTGCTACAGAGAATGCTGTCGCAGCGTGCATCATTAGCCTGGTGATAATTATCAAGTGCAAAGGTTTAGTTTAATGATAGTATCGCACGAGGACCGCTAACTCATCTCCCTTGTGAACAGTACATAGGAGAAAAAGTTGTTGCGTGCTTTCAGGACGATTCATAGTAAACCGGTATACTATTACCGCTGATAAGCTTGAAGAGAGATTTTCGATACGGCAATTTACGCGTTTAACGGGAGGCGGAGCGAAGAAAGAAGCCACCGTCAACGGCGGAAATGGGTAGCTACTAATAATACGGTTTCGTACACCATATGGAAATCTTCTTTTTGAATTTCTACGTTGTACAGGTACAGATAGTTATAAAAAAAAGCAGAAATTCATCGCCATCCCTGTTTGCTACACGTGATGAATCGATTCTTGCGATAAAAAAAAACTTCGATTTCTACAGTAAATATCTCGACATAAATTTGCAACGCTCAAGAAGAAATGACTACCTTCGCACGCGGTTCATCCTGCGCAATAATTGGACAGTGGACATTGTGTAAATCGCACCAAATAAGTCTTGCGAGGAGATGCGGCCTGTGATTAAAAAATTGCGCGGCGCAGAAATTGTTCATCCAGTCTGCCATTGGTTATATCTGCACAAACCAGCCCGGAGATAACCGCCGCTGAAACTACTGCTGCTGAATGGGTGGTCTCGGCACTGAAGTGGTCTCCGCTACGCGTAACCTTGATGGAGCGTGTAATAATAGATAAAACGGTGGAGGAGACATTAAACGGCGGCATGGCGCAGTATCTCTCTGCAGTGTGACTTCTTTTGGCTTCCGTCATGAACAGAATTTTTCTCATCATCAGATTGTGCTCTTGTCGCATGTCTAGTGCGATACATAAACCTTTCCTTGTGGCTATCGTACTTGTTAGAATCGGTTAGATTTGCAAGTAGTCTAACACTTAAAAAAGATTATTATTCGTTTTATTTCCAAATTACTGACCAGTGAGTACAGAGTTTGGGCAGCCACTCTCAATCGCACAGCCTCTCTTAAAGCAAAAGCATCGAGAGCTCTTAATTTCGATCACACGAAGTCGGGTTTACATGAGTAGAAATTTAGTAGGGCGGGAGGGGCACTGAAAACCCAAGAACTCCAATATCCAATTACTTCCGGCCACGTAATAATTTCTTTTTATTGTTATTAACACACCATAATACCTCCCTGTAGCAACGTTTCTTTACAAACAATCATGCCACGTCATCTTACTTAATAATTTGGCCCTTTTCTGCAGCCATAAGCAATCTGGCCACTTCTTGTGGGTTTTACAGTAATAACATTGCGGATATGAAGAAGTGCTAAGCCACTAAGCGCTCTTCTGTTTTCAAACGCCGTACGCCGTAGCGCCCACTAATATGTTTTCAAACGCCGTAGGGCATAGAACGATCGCTCGCACAGTCGCCCTCAGCAACACTAACAGGAAGAACAGCAAATATATGAAGCAATGTATGGATCGTCGGGTAACACTCTTGTGGGCATTTATGCAAGGCTGTAACGATCGTGTTTGGTCCGTCTGCTTTCTCAAAGGCTTTCCAGTAAGATTTCCACTGGATGTACTCGCTCTGAAAATACAGTCCATTTTCTGCTAAGCCGTTCTCGTACTGCTTGACCGTCGCAGAAAATTCATGGAACTCTCCGGTGACACTACGTAGCGTGGTAACAAGGCTCCAATGATCGTCGCACGCTCAACCGCCGCCGATTCAACGAAGCAATGCTGATGCGGTAGTATTCTTCTGGATCCTCCGTTTGGATATTAGTGCGATGCCGCTGCAGCCCTGTACGCCTGGGTATCTTTTCTTCGATGCCGGCTGCCTCCTCAAACTCTGCGACTGCTTTGTAAATTTCCGAAAATACTTCTTGTATATCTGATAATCCCATTAAAGTGTCCCCAAGAAGTGTAGGTCATTGGCTCAAATTCTTTGGGACACCTTAATGGGATTTTCAGTCGTAATTCGTTCAGTAACGCTGCTATATCTTGATAGCGTCGTGCTACGAAATGTCCCCGTAAGAAAAGATCTCCCACATGACAACACCGAAGGACCACACATCCAATCGTTATGAAAGCAGCCGGTGCTTTAAACTTTCAGGTGCCATCCAGCGAGCGCGAACTCTGGCATCCTAGAAAACCCGTATAACTTGTTTAGAAAATTTAATTCCAACGCGAAAAGCTTTTGAATTTCCTCGTGATTGTGTATAAATATACAGCTTAGGACAACATAATCTGTTTCCGCCTCGGTAATGCTTAAACTGCAACAAAGACTTAGTAACTGAGTGTTCGTGAAAGCGTTCGTACTTTATAAGCGTAGTGTACCACTATGCGATTCAGTGGCAGAAATATGTGAATTAAAAACCCGTTTTCTCAGTATGAAAAAAAACGGATTTTTACTTCGTCTCCATTACGTTTCTCTACCCCCTACTCTAGTTTATACCTGTGATTCGGTTATTCGGTAGTAATCAGGTTCCTGTTTGGCCAGTCGGAAAATGCAGATCTTCAGCCACATGTTATCGCACACAAGAATATTCCGCGCAACCAGATCGCGGTGGGTAATGTTGTGAAGTGCCAAGTACCCCAAGCTCCGGCTAATCTGGTTGGCGAAATTAATCAGATCGTCCCCGAAGATCGGATAAATTTCGTCTACCACATCAGCCGGGGAGCAGCCAGTCTTTCGAGATGTTCGATTCTTTTCTAGCAATCGCAAAATTTGCCATGCCCTCGTTGAGGTAATTGGTTTCGCTGGCTTTTTCTTCAAATAGTTTTTCGTGCAGGCGGAGGTACTTAAGCAGGCTGCCGTGTAAAGCGTATACCAGGATTATATGGCGTTGACCTTCGTAAACGAGCTACCGTTATAGAATTCGTCTCAAAAAAACTTTTGGCAAATACATAATCAGATGACGCTGTTCGATAATCATAAAGTTGGTGCGTTTTTTCGTTTTAAATCGCGAACCGACGATATCATTTATAGTATATTTGAGTTAACCTTTACGGAAACTTAACATCTTTACCGCCAGTAGATGATTATCAAGTACAAAGGATCGTTACGATAGTATCGCACGAGAACCGCTAACTCATCCCCGTTGTGAACAGTGCACGATTGTAATAGTAAACCGGCATAGTATTACCGCTGATAAGCCTGAAAAGAGATTTCACGAAACGCCGGAAATAGCTGCTAATGATAAGGTTACACCTATATGGAAATCTTACTTTTGCATCTGTACACTATACAGTCAATAAATAAAACGAGTTATAATTCAACTTAAAAAGGGCAATCTATGTGCGGCTGTGCCTGTCTAGGAACAATTCTTTTGACAATTCTTCTGACTTCTAGGAACAATTCTTTTGACTGAGAAGAAGTTTCGAAAAAAAGGCGAATAAATTTGCGCCGCGTAAGAAGACATGATTCCATCCAGTTTCCTATTGTGGGTTGTTGAACCCATGGTCTGAAGAGCGTCCCAACGTTCGTTCTTTCGACAATCAGTGTAATTTCCCTAACTATGGTATACAAAACCCACCTGCCGCCATGATAGCCGCTGCCGCAGCACATCCGGTCCGCTGCATATTTCCGTGCCCGGGTCAAGAAGTGGTGGTCATTGCGTTTATACGTTGCAATCATTAATGAGAAAACGTTTGTCGAAAGACAGCACTAAATGGACAAAACCGTGGCATGCTACAGTATGTCTCGGTGTAGCTCGTTTGGCTTTTGCCACGAAACAAATTTTACTACCAGGCAATTGTGTTCGATCCGCAAGTTAAATGAGATGTTTATATGTATATTGCCTTTGTGACTATGGTTTTCGTAAGATGGAATACTAAGTCACAAAAGCCTTTAAATAGGCTAAAAATAACATTTTAAATAATATTTTTAACCTATTCATTTGACTTTCCAGTTACCAAGTACGTACAACAAAGTTCAAAGCCACACCTACAGTTTAACCATAATATTATGCAGACGGTTTTATGCGTGTAATAATTTTTAATAAAAAAAAATACAAAACATCAGAGCAGTACAGACTGTACAATGAACCAGTAAAAGGAGAAAATAAATAGCAGAATATTGTTAAGCACCGCTTTCCACTGCAATATAATCTTCAGCGTGCTTGATATTGAACATCACATATTGCTTGTTCAAATCTATATACTCGCACTGAGCATCTTTTCCCACATGCCACTCAATCCGCTGCCTCAGAACACTAAAAGTTGGTCGCTTCGCCGCTTCATAATCCCAGCATTCGCGCATAATGTCATCTCTACAATGTCGTGAAATACAAAGAAATATAGATTATTCGTAATTCCTAATCGCAACTATGAAAATCAATGACAAATGCAAGATACATATTTATTGTAATTAAGACATGATATTCCAAGCCTTCGAAAGGTCAAAGTTGCGAATTACTGGATGTAGTGACGTACACTGCTTTGGGACACTTTAGTGGGATTTTCAGCCGTAACCCGTTCCGCAACGCTGCTATGATATGTTGGCACACCAGGTCTTTGATTGTATCGTGATATGGGATGCCGCCGTACGAAAAGATCTCCCATGTGACAACACCGAAGGACCACACATCGGATCTCTCCGAAAACAGTCGCTGCTCATAACTTTCTGGTGCCATCCAGCGAGCGGGAACTCGGGCGTCCTAGAAATTCGTTACGATTTACTCGCAATACTTTATGGAAGCTTCTGTAATTCCTCGTATCTGTAGCTTCACATCGATGTGCAACTTAAGGAGAATTTATACTATGGTAGCAAGATCGAAAATGAGATTTTCGAAATTCTACAGTGTAATAAGAAGGGTTACATCTATTAGTAGGCGAAAGTTGAGTAAAATTAGGTAGCAACGAAAAAAGTTATTCAAGTTTTTTCGTTGCCGACCAGGGGCGATTTGGCGGGCTGGCGCATCTTTCTACACTACTGCCACCTGTGGTCAAAATCAGTGAAAGAAAGATTGCTTTAAGAAGCGCTTCTTCTATTCTGGAAGATGCCTTGTGGTTGTTATATATACCATGCGAGCTTGCAAGTGTGATAGGAGCAGAGAAGGCTCATGTTTACACAGTGAGGACGATTAGAGCATGACAAAGGCGCCAGACAATGGAAAGACATAGCGCTGTCCCGTGAGTGCACATGAAAGAGTGGCCAAAGTCCACTCTTCGGTGTGCACACAATCTGGTGTGGCGGCACTGTAGGCGCAGAATAGGTAAGACCAAAGGAAAGCGCAGAACAAAAGAAGGTTCTTCGCCACGTTCTGAAAAATTTTCCAAAAATGACTTCTAAACTCAATAACAATTTTCAAAGATGTCAGAAAATTCTGACATTTGATCAGATTTAAGAAAAATCATTTTCAAGAAGAATTGTGGAGCGTTTTCGCAGAAAATGTTTATATATTCTGTAAAAAATAAAAGAAAGTAACTTTGGGTGTCAAAAAGTTTGTTTTTTTCAAGAATGGTTGAGTTTTTTGGGAAAAACGCTCCACAGAACTTTAGTTATTTTAGCGGAGCACATCGCTACGTTTGAAAAAAAATTTTCAAAAATCTGCTTGAATTGTTATTGCTTCCGGAAAATAACGGCTTTTGATCAGTGACTTTTACATTTTAAAATTGTCCAACCAATTTCAGACTTACAATGTATGTAATGAAAATATCATAGTGTTAGGTCAGATGTGTAGTTAAGATGCAGCACAAGCGCGCGCATTGTGCCAGTGAAAATAGTCGAAAGAGGTCGAAATCGGTATAATCTCTTCTTAAGATGGCAAAAAATATGCGATTCCGCCTCGGTATTGCCTAAACCGCAATTACGTGATTCCGTGTTAATAAAGTGTACAAACATATACAGTAATATGAGTTCCACTCCGACATATGTGACGCAGACTGCAGTTTTCTCAGTAATTACTTAGAACGAATTTTTCGAGTGGCCTAAGTGGATGTCACCATCAAAATGTTAGACAGCTGGTCCACTAGTCGCGCATGCCATAAATAATGATTTCTCCAATACATTTCTCCTACAGTACTGTATATACGGATTGTACAATACCTGTGATTCAGTCATTCGGTAGTAATCAGGTTTCTGCCGGGCCAATCCAAAATCGCAGATCTTCAGCACTTTGTTATCACAAACCAGAACATTCCGAGCGGCCAAATCACGATGTATAATGTCGTGCACCGCCAAATATTCCATACCCCGACTGACTTGATAGGTGAAATTAATCAGGTCTGCCGTTTTGAGCGGCCATTCTTTCGGGATGCTTGATTCCCGGCCATCCATCGTAAAATTCGCCATGCCCTCGTTCAGATAACTGGTTTCGCTGGTTTTCTCTTGAAATAGTTTGTCGTGCAGGCGGAGGTATTTGAGCAGACTGCCGTGTGAAGAGAATTCCAGAATTATATGGAGTTGACCTTAATAAACATACTCGTGTAAACGCGTAGCACACTGCATTATAAAACTCGTCTAACCGTAAATGACTAAATGTAAATGCGTAAAAGCAAATAAATGCTAAAAGCTGCTCGGTAACCACAACTTCTTATTGCTGCAGCTGTTCGTTTTGAACCGTAAAATATGTATTATCTATAGACTATGGCCTCGTCTCGAATTCGAAGCGAATCTAGCTTTGGTATGATTGCTCAACCGCACGAGGTGGCTGCATGCAGTGGCCACGCCTACAGATACGGTACGCCAAGCCACCTCGCGAGGTGGAGTTGCTGTATGCTACTTCGAATTCGGGACAAGGCCTATGATTACGAGTATATAATATATATTGCAATAAAATTTTTATGATTACACGAGACATTACGAAAGCTAAGGCATAAAATCGAACTGGCAGCCTGTACGATGACGTCACGGTAGGGGAGACCCCATGTTATGAAGTCCATAGGCTTGCACACTTTTGCGTTCCAGCAGAACGAATTTTCCTGGTGTCTAAATGATTTTTCTTCTGTTTAAAACTCAAAACATTATGCTCCCTCACCGTCCCCAAAATTCTAGCGGTAAAAGTGAGTTATCGCACACTTTGGCCTCTCAAATGGTGGATCCAAAAGCCAAGGTAGTGGTGAGTCTTGGAAGAGTGGTTAAGCTGTAACCACTGTCGTTTCCGTTATGATTAAAGTCCAGGAAACAAAGTCAAGTAAAATATAACTTTCTGGACTCATTTCAGAAAATGAACACACACTGATAGTCAGCAACTTGGTCGGAAGACCGTAGCCGTCCACAGTAAATCCACACCACAAGTGCAGGCTTCTTCCATAGACTTCCATGTTAACTGAAAACACTCATATCGCATCCAGTTTGCAACGGATCCGCGCTAACTCAGCATAAAAAAAAATAACAAATTATTCTCTTTCTTTTGAGATGTTTCTGTAGGCTTATTAACAAAAATACAAGGAATTCTAGAATTTCAAAGTTGTATGTAAGTCTACCGGCAACACAGTGCACCGTCTCCACTATCCCGACTTCATCGCAGTCGATTTTATGCCTTAGCTTTCGTAATGTCTCGGATTACACTATACCATAACATTACTAAACTAACGTAATAATATATATGACAGGTTGGTAATATTAATTTATTATGTTAGTTTAGTAATGTTATGTTATTAATATTAGTAAGTTAATAATGATAGTTATAGTTAGTGATATTATGAGTATACAGAGTAGGGGGCAAAACTAAGCGTGTTCCACGGTTCCCCTGTATACATAAATGAAGTAATATCCGTCGTTATTGGGGTTTACCGCTTAATGTGATGCCTAGAAGGCTGACAATGTTCAAATGCCGGCCAGCTTTACTGTGCACAGTGACCTCATCCATCAACAGTTTATGTTGATAATCATCCGCGGAGTTCTTGACGCACTTCACCGCCACGACCGACGGTGATGGCCATTCCGATAAATCGTACGCTACTCCCTTCCATACTTCGCCAAACTCACCCTCATCGAGCTTCTTGTCTACAATTGTGGACAAGAATTTCACTTGAAACTAGAAACTGCCACAGCAAGGATCAAGACGCCGGCAAAACAACAAATGCAGCTGGTTTCTTCCTACCAAATCTAAGCGACTTCCGGGGAATTTTTAGTCCAGCTGCCAGTGATGGCACCTTCCATGCCATATACATTTCCTTGATATGCCTTCTTCTAGCGTCGTCCTCTTGATTGCTCACTATGTCAAAGTACACGTCCAGGGCGTTCGCCGGCCGCATGGGGCTCACCGGTGGATTCCGCCGTCGCCAGCACCACACTCCTAACAACGCAAACACCAGCGCCACCACACTGACAAGCGCCACCCACATCTTCCATTGTGCATCCTCGGGACTGATTAGCGATGCACCCGCCGGGCTCATAGACGACTCAGAGGATGTCAACGGTGTCAGCTTGCGCACGACGATGTAATCCACCAACAGTTCCGCTTCAGCATTCATGGTATGGCGTTGCCGAAAACTGTCCAGTTCAATTGAGATCTGCATGGGCGTCACCGGGATCATCCTGGGATCGGTCAGCCGGCGAACCTCTAAATTATCAACATACCAGTGTATACTGTCGCGGTCCCACCTCACTTTAAAGTTATGAAACTGTCCATCCAGCAAACTGCTTTGAGCGTTGTGCATCCAGGATTTTCCCCTGTCCTTCCCGTAATTCACGCCGATAAACACGCGACTGGGTTCGACGCTCCGAAGATCCGCCACGGAAATGGCTTGGTCGAGACATGCCGGGGACTGGTCGAAGCGGCATTCGGCATCGATTAAGCGCAGCATGGTCATCACCGACATGTTGGCACTGGCCGGTAATTTCGCCCGGATTTCAATTTCCCCGTAGGTAAAGTTATAATGCGTACCAGAACTTATATGGCTGACGCTGTAGCTCGCATGTGAGGCGTTGTCCACTTTAGTGCGAGCGGGCATGTGCAGATATCCATCGGAGGCCCACACGTCATGATGTCCGGTCAGTATTGTGTAGTCTGTCCTTTTTTTAAAATGGTTGCGCACACTCCATGTGTTGCGCCAAATCTCGTCGTCGTTGAAGTCGTCGCGATGCGGCTCGGTATCAAAGACCTCTACGATCAATATGCCGCACGCTTTATCGCACCACACAGAAACCTGGAGTGTGGTATATGTACGTACAGATATAGCAGTGGACTGTACAATGTCACTGTACTCTGGACCTAGCAGCTGATGTACGAGTGCTCATTGTGCTGTTAAGTATTATTCATAAATTCGTAATAGCCGCGAGCTGGTTAATAAAATACATTAACCGCTAAATACGCCACAGGGAGATCAAAGAAGTGCTATTCGGCCTTGTTACTTAAAGGTAAGTGTAGAAACTGTGGGGAGACCGCAATGACGCTACCAAATTTAGCGGCTGATGTTGCTAAATATACTTGGATGAGTCTCATATTTCGGTCACTTCAAATATACGGTGTTTTACTTCGGTCACCGGTCACTTACACCACCCCCCATGTGGCAAAAATAGCTGATCGCACGTGTCCTTTATGTGTTTCTCACTGGTCTGTAGTCACAAAACAAAATTGAAAATGTTGAAATTTTAAATTTTTCAAGTCTGTAAACGCGGAAGACCGGTTATTTTACCTTGCACCCGGTCCAATTAGTGTTCTTACTTTGGTTTTTCTATGGAAGTTTTTTATGAATCCATGAGCGAAGTTTTTACTATGAAAACTATTTATTTCTAATATTTTGTTTGTCCGAAACTTTTGGCACTAAGTGACCGAAATATAAAACAGTATACTTAAAGTGACCGAAATATTAGACACATCCAAGTACAGATTGAACATTTTTCAGCAAATGAGGGTAGCACCCAATTATGGTAGATACTCTTATCCCTGAGGCTTTTATTAAGTCGCGCCATTGGCACTTCCACTGGCGTGACTTAATAAAAAACGACCCGTCGCGAGACCCCTGTCTATTTTCAAAATAATTCCAGTCCGCACTTTGTCTCCAAACACAAAGGAAGTATTTCTCAGGTCAGTGCTTCCGCCTTTGACTACTCGCAGTCTCTCATAAGAATCTCAGAACTTACCGGTACACGCCCTCACATCGTGGTATTTGACTGCGTTATTCCCGTTGACGGCGGTGTTCAGTTCGATCGGGCAGGTAAAGCGGTTGATCTTTCCGTCACAAGCCAACCGACGCAACACATAACCTCTCAGGGCACGACAGCGTATCCATGATTTAGAGTAAATGCCAACTGGCTGGTCTGCAACAAAACCAATAATTTCTTGTCGTGTCCACTATCAATTTCACCGCTTTCTCGCTTGCTTTTTCGTGCGTCCAAAGAAAGACCGCCGTAAATTTTCTTTTTTTAATTTTTGGAAAAGGCATCGTAGTGGGTCAGGATTCTCGCTTGGATTATCTTTCCGGTGTGTATTCGGGACCGGATATATTGTACTCTGTACACACAAACTTGTCCCGTAATTTCTGGCGCATTAACTCAGCGACAAATCGTTCATAGCAGAACTTGACGCTAAATGCGTGCTATCTGATTCGGCAGAACGGGACAAGCTCGTACATACGATTATTACTTTTTACATACTCGTGCTACAGAGTAGTTCTGACTGGTGTACAGAATTACTTTTACCGTATCAGTCTTTTCGCTGCATTGTAATATCACTGTTTGCTTATCACAACCTGGTCTAATGCATAGAAAAGGCGTTAATCAAAAAGGCGCATGTGAACGCTGATATGCATTTAAATTAACTGTACATATACACTGTGCACGTTTCGTACCAAAGAAAAGTGAGTCGTTTTTCTCTCCTTGTAGTCACAGTATACATCTGTATACATCTGTAGACGCCCTGTAGACAGCCCGTAGACATCCCTGTAGACATACTGTAGTCATCAGGTTTCTTAAGCTTCTTAGGTTCTCTTAGGATGTGTACAGGTTGTCTACAGGTTGTCTACAGGTTATCTACAGATGTCTACCGCTGTATACAGGCAGGTCTTCTTAGGTTCAGCTCGATGTCTGCCTGTACACACCGGTAGTAATCTTTAGACAGCCCGTAGACACACTGTAGACATACTGTAGTCACCTGGTTTTCTAGGTTTTCTTAGGAGTTAGGATGTATACAGGTTGTCTACAGGGTGTCTACAGGTTGTCTACAGATGACTACAGCGACTACAAAAAGGAAAAAAAGGTTCCAGTTTTTTTCTTTGGTACGAAACGTTCCATATATAACCAATCTGCCGCATTGGAGCAATTTTTTAAACGTCCACCTCCACCAGTCCACCTTTCTGTGAGTTATGTGTGTTTTACTAATGCGATTACCGAAGTATACTAACAAATCACGAGAGTGTACTGGAATTTGATCTGGTGGCTCCGATTAATGGTATCCTTTTGTCGGATTAAGTTCAACGTAAGCGTGATATTATGGCGGAAATCCGTGGTCTGAAATTGCCCAACACTGGCGACCGAATTATCCACATCATTACGGATGACTTTTAACAACGATCCGCTGCCGTGTTGATACACTTTTAATTCATCATTCTCCGGCATCGTGGATTCCCTATAGAGAGGCCGCAAATTTTGCACCGAGCTGTGGTTAATCAACAGATTGTATACAAACTTGTCCCGCTGTTTCTTAAGTAAAGGGTTTAAGATACGTATAAGTCGCATTTAGCGCGAAGTCTGCGCTATGAACGAGTGCCTCACCACTAATTCCGGCACAAGACAGATTTACTCTTGTCAATATTCAATCTTTAAACTCGTAGTCAAAATTGCAGATACTTTAGATTTTAGAAATTTGTCTTGTGGATATGATTTTTTGTTCGGATGAATTCTATTGCACGAAATTTCCCAGTGCGCCAATAGGATATTTTTCCCTTTCGCTGCGAAGGGGGCTACGGAGGATCTAACCGTGCCACTGTACCACGGAGAGGGAAAGTGGCACGGAAGCTGAAGCTGCTCGCGGCGCCCTGAACTTTGCATTCCCGAGGATGCAATAGGTCGGTCGTTCTTTTATCAAAGACTTATCATGTCCATGATCAGCCTTGCATACACTGCAAAAAGCCTTTCACACAGGGAGATATATGCTGGATATGCTGCTCACACCCGGTCATGTTCCCGCAAGCATACCGAGGGTTCTTCCTTTACTTAAACTACTGTATATTACCGCCACCTGGGAAGGCCCTGAAACATCCGTTACGTTCGTTCGTGGAGGGAGACTAATTTGACACCCCGAAAAGAGGGCCGAAAGCTGTGCGGCGGCAGTGTGCTAGGCTCATAACGCAATTAATTAGAAACTGCGCACCAATTCAGCGGAGAGCTGGATCGCTTTGTTTTTGATTGATTGATTGATTTAATTTCGAGTAGCCAAGCCCGTAAACGGGCACTCTCACATATCCTTATCCGTTGAAGAACATCAAATATGCTAAGGCTAGTCAAGTCACCACAACTCGTTAAACACCAGTAATACGTACGCTTGAGAAGCAACACGTCACAGAATTGCTGTAGGCTAATACGGGCACAAAGCTACGTCATGCACAAGGCACAAAGCCACAGAACAACAAGATCAGTATCACTCTATATCGTATCCGTATCAAAGTTGAGTCGAAGTTGAGGCCCCTTCGTACGTCCACGTACGGCATCGAAGTGGTGAGTTGATCCACGTAGAATCCGTATTGACCACAGGCGTCGAGGAAACGTACACGCCACTCCGTACGGTCAGCGCTGATGCCGACTAACCACTTCGCACACAGCTTTGCGGGCCATGCACTCGCAGCCTGAACTCAGAGTGGTCACCCATCCAAATCCAAACCGCGCTCGATGTAGGCTATCTTTCAAAATCCGAAGATCCATCCATTTAGCTACACGGAGTGTGGCTAAATGCTTTGACACTTCCTCCTTTGCTGCTGGCGCCTACTGCTTTGACACTTCCTCCTTCGGAAACCCTGCGCAGAGAATCCGTTGCCGCACATATCCGAAAACATCTTGCGGACTTGTCCATAGAGAAGCGCCAGGCAATCCAGGCAATTTTTTATACAATTTTTTATACATTTTGGCGGGACGATGAAGTGAGAATTAGCGTCGCACTGTGATTCGGCCTTCCATTAGTCAAGCCGGTTGAGCAGCCTAACTATGTGAGCTGCGCTAGCCGAGTTGAAGCAAATGGCCACCACGGTCTGTCCTGTACAAGTAGCAAAGGAAGGTGGTCCGGGAATCTTGAACTGCACAATGTGACTAAGTGAGGTAGGGAAAGCTCGGGTTTTCATCGTCAGATTGAGCCACCGGGATTATCACTCAAAGATAACAACCGGCCCGACGGCATGACGCTGATACCCGTGTGTGACGGAAAAGCGGTAGCACGGGGCGCTACCTGCTGGGACACCGTAGCTTTCTCGCAGGTTAAAGCCAGCTCGAAGAAGTCAGTTAACGTGGCACAACTGACGGACTACAGTAAACGTGGGAAGTGTGGATTTCTGGAGAGTATGGGTATCTGTTCTACCCGCACGCAGTCGAGACATTTGGAACCTTCGGGCCTGTCTTTGCTGAGATGATACGTTTCGTAGGTAGGAAAATTCGCGATGCGACCGGCGAATTCTCCATCTGCGCTTTCCTTAGACAACGTTATAGTCTGGCTGTTGTTAGAGCAAATGCGGCTGCTGTCTTGGGTACATTAAACGCGCGGCCGAAAGTTGGTAGTGACAGCAATGATTTTTGTTGTTTTTTCAATGTGCAAACTGCAAAGTTAAACTTTTTAATTAGTGTCTATCAGCGCAGGCTTGTTGTTACGCTAATTGGCTACTGCTTGAATAAAAATTTCATATTTAGGGTAAATATAAAAGAGAAAAGTTTATATTTTATAATTTATATGGATGGTTTGATTCAGATCGATATTTTGCATGCATCAGCCATGTGAAATTCACGTACAGTACCTACCGGTAAAGCGTAAATAATGCGGCGTTGCGCGCCATGGTATGGAGTTGGGCAAAATTCGTGAATTTGTAATTTGGCGTTTGTGTTGATGCGTTAGAAACCACGAGACAAGTTTGTACAACAGTATAGATATGCAGCAATCATTAATTCACCCCTCAGCAGTAAATAAAAATTATGTTTTCCGATTTAATTCCGCTAGACACTTTCATGAAGCGCTTTCAGTATTTCCTGTGTACTGGCTTATGTCGCAGTGTACAGAGTAGTGGGACTTACGCGATATTAAAATATACACTACATGTTCCAGTGATGGCAGATGGCGTGACGATCATCAACGTCACAGTGCAGAATTGCTCCAGATAGTCGGATAAAATGAAGCTGCTGCCGTATCTGCCATTATTGATAATCAGCGGCTCTGTATTGCAGTACCGTTCCAGATGTGGTACACTGGTATCTGAAAGCAGAAATTTCTGTCGTCCTTGGAAAGCTATTAAAGATTCTGCAGAAATCAACCTGTTTTGTTAGGTGGGGAAGTGGACACCAGTTTCCAGGAAAGAAATACAACAGCAGAATATGTAAACAGAACTGTATGGAGATGGGACACAAATAAGTTATACATCATGTTGTACAAAATATTAACCGCTACAATGCGGCCAACATAGCCTGCAAAGTTAAATTACTGGCATCCATTTGTTGGACTGCACATGGTGCACGTTGGCTGACTAATGTAACACTAACATGACACTTGTGGAGAAAGCCTGCAAGTGGAAGCGCTAAGGCAATTAGCGTCATTAACTCAGGGTGTATTGTTTTATCTGATCTGCTAAAGATGGAATCATTAACAGTTTTCCGACGGTGAAGTCGTGGACCACGAGGGTTGCATTATTTTAATTCCGGCTAATTCACGGTATTGCAGTCTACATGGGCATGTCTCGTACAGTATTACTGCGATAGCATTGCCTGATATATGTGGAACCGGCGTCACAAACAGGTCGACAAAAAGAGGGACAACTAACCAACCGGTAGTCGGGAGCGGTTGACATGCCGCTAAAAAATATAATGCCAATTTGGGTCGACGATGCAGTACGCTCTCGTGCATGTGCTACCGGCTGACTTTTTGTGTGCAGACGTCGCCGGTCCTGGCGGTCCATAATGTCCATTATTTATGAGCATGTATGTAATAAAAATTTGTTATTTTACGAGTATCATGTGTATGCTACTACAAGAGCATTAACGGTTGCTGTGTTTATGCAACGTAAAAGTATTATTTTTTGATTGTAAATGGATTGTTAAAATTTTTTGATTTTTGATTGTAAAGCGCTTTGAGAAATTTTACAGCCTACTTTGTATGCATGGATGGAATGGGGAATCTGTAATACAAACGCTTATTGCTGCATTCGGCAATGTTGCTCACCAGTCATGAGCAAGCCTCGGCTTGTTCAGATTGACGTATAGGCGGTATAGCTGACTCACATACCGTTAGTGGCTGCTCAGCTGCTGGCTGCTGCTAATCAAGATCCACTTCAGCAACAGTTCGATAGTGCAATAACATGGGAAGTTAAATTGTATGTACTGTATGTCAGTCGTGTATAACAATGGCGACAGTGCATATGAGATTTTAATCACACTGTAATATGTATCAAATTGCACAAAATGTCCACAGCAACAATAGGGAAAGCTCTCACAATTTCGGGAAGAACTTTTTGAGAAAGGGTTAAAACGCGTGCGGAAATAATTTATTATAATTATAATTAGCGACAGTGCGTACTGTATTTACTGGCAGCGCATTATACTGTACAAATTTTTTGCATAGATCCATGAAATCAGAATGAGAAAAGGAGAGCAGGCAGAGTGCCTGAAGAAGACTGTTAATCAAGTCATACAGACGCACTTAACCGGCGTTCCCATGCACAGACCAGCGATACTTCCCCTGCCGATACACCATTGGCTGCATTCTTCCGGCTTTTCGTCCTCGCAGAGCTGGTGAACTTGTGTGCCGATGAGGATCACGGCGGAACTATCCACGTTAGCCGACATCATCGGAATGGCCGTCGTTGACGATTCCCTCTGTTCCTCCGATGCCGACGTATCGGTTGGTTCGGGTTCGTCGCTGTCGGAGGTGAGCGTCGGTAGTATACAGCCGGTTAGAATCAGAATAATCCAGGCATACGCAGGCATGGTGGATAGTAATGCAACGGCGGCGATTGTGGTAATTTACCGCAATAATTCGTCACTATCACGCAACAGCGCTTCATGTCTGTATTTTGCGTGCTACTAGTTGGCAGTGAAGTGCTAGGAAACAGTGTGAAATATACTGAGAGAATAACCCATGTGAAGCGAGCGTTACGGGCCAAAGGTCAATTTGGGGAAGATCTTATCCACGCGCAAGCCTTCCAGCCTAATTAACGGCTTGTCTTATTTGTACCTACAACGCCGGAATGCCGGTTGCATCAGCGAATAGAATATACTGGGTAATTTGCAGAGAATGTAACATTACAACGGCTCAGTGTTATACAGAGTATTACCGCGTGGTAGCCGGAATTATTTTTTACTGGACGGACATGTCTTTCATTTCATCCTAACGATGAATGTACTGTATTCTGGCAAACGGTCGGCCAGCCGGATTAACACGATCGTTACTTCGATGACTTTCGTTTTTATCGGTTTCATAATTGTATAGCAGACTGCGCTATATGATTTTGCATGAGGAACGCGTAGGTGCATTATCAGCCCCTCTGGCGCGCGGCTACTTGGAGCAACGACAGCTGACGGAAGTCAGCAGCTGCATTTTCGATAATTTTTTATTTGAGCAGGAAGTTTGTTGTATACTTCGTTTACTGCTTTCTTTTCTTGTGTACTCTGGGATAAAGTTTCTACATGTTTTAACATTTATTTATGCAGCAGTAATAACTTGGTTTTCAATGAATCAAAGCGGAAAAATTTGTTTGCTAGATGCATTTAACAAGCTATACATTGTGCACTTTCGATGCACAGTGTATTTTTTATATCCGTAATCCACAATCCGGTTTATCGCACATTAATTAATTCGTTGGCACAATTATCGGGATATTAATTTTAACAATAAAAAGAAGTATCATCTACACAAAAAAATTCTAATAATTTATTATTTGAGCGAAAGGCATGTAAAGAAAATCTGAGAATTACGTTCAAGCACATCTGGGATTATCGCTTCCGGTTATCTTGGCACAAACATTTCACCGGCGTCCCCATACACATCCCGCGGCCGTTACGATGCATCCCCTTACAGTGGTTATTGCAGGCCGTTTCGTCGTTATTCTCGCAGTAGCGATGCACGGTGCCATCCGCCCCGGTGTACGTGTTTTCCAGGGGCGACCACGCCGACATGTGGCCCCCGGGTTCCGGTGTCTCCGACTCCTCATGCTCCCCTGGTGCGACTGTCGGGGTGTCGTCGGCCTCCGCCACCAAGTCGGGGTCCGTGTACATTTCATCCGAATCGGCGCTGACGATTGTTATTGATAAACAAATTAGGAGAAAAGAGATGATTAAGTGCATTATTGCGGCTAAGATTATTATAAATTCTGTGTGATTAAAGTATGTTCGATGTTGTGGTTTTGTACAGCACGCGGAAGGAGTGAATGATAAAACTGTCTGCCTGCAGTGCCACCACTCGTACGCCGCATGGAATTAACGGATACGAGGAATGAGTGATTTGCTTTGATGTTATCTAGCGCTGATTAATCAAGGGCTGGAAGTAGCTCGCACTTTGCAGTACGCTTTCGCATAATAATAATTATGGCTCATTCGGCAGTACCGACTACGCATGTATTGTAAAAGACGCTTTTAGAGACGCCGGCTCGTAATGTTTGCAGACTATGTATTGAACATATACTGTACCTGCATATCTACACCTGCATGTCTATACTATATACGTGAAATGTAAAACACAATTTACACACATACGAAAATGTACAATACCGGATCGTAGAAAGTCGATACTTTGTTTTAAAACTTATTGCGTAAACCAGGTGTACCCGCTCTCTGTCGCGCAAAGCAGGCCTCGCGTGGGTGAATACAACCGGAAATTGAATATCTTTATATGGTTACAAAAAGACTTTGCTACAAATAAATTCCGCAATTGAAAACGTTTCAACATAGTGTGAGCGCTAAAATAAACTAAGAAATGTTTTCATTGCTTCCCTTACTTCGTAGTTCTTATGATTACGAATATACGGCACGATCTTCTTCCACAAATATAAGCCCTGGCAGCCCTTCCGGAAGCAGCATTGATCCGAGCCCTCCGTAAATTATGGAGTTATTCATTTGTTCAAAGTCCATCCTTGCAGAAGATTTTAACTGTTAGGAAAAGAACGTTAGCCTTGTGTTGTACGAATTTCAGCTTTCCGATAATTGCGCACAGTTTATACTACGAGTACATTCAAGGCAACCTGGGCGATTTTAAGTTTTATCGGTCCTGCAACCACTACTTGTCAAATGAATATATTATGCACTGTAGTAATCGTATTTTAATGATTTTGTATGTCTCTACGTGCTATTGTGTACGCCATAACTTTGATTTAATGTTTAGGGAGCTTTGATTAGTTTATTACATTAAAAGAAGCAATTATTATCACCATGTCGTCGATCAACCATTGGTACCAAGATTAGTCAAATAATCATAAATGTAGCAAAAATTATTATGTGGTTAGACTATTGTAAAGGACAGTAGCGGCAATACAATGATTTAATAAGAACCGCGGCACCGTTGCACCATTCTGACCAAGGCCTTGCGTAGACCTTGTAGCGTAGTTAGAAAGATAATCGGATCCACAATACTCTGCAGGACGGTGAGAATGTACAGGATGATAAAGGTGCGTTCGGAGAAGAAACGGAAAATGGATCCCATGCTTAAGTAGAACGCCGCCGGGATCATTAGAAAGGTGTAAGACACGGTAAACAAAGTCACAGTCAGGAAAGGACCAGAAGACAACGGCCGGTCGCGATTGTTCTCTACAAAGCACAAACCGGGTTTCTTGCAATTATTATTTACCATATTACAATTACCAGCATATTAGTCAGTTGTTCACAGAATCCGAATTTAGATTTTCCATATTAGGAAAAACTGATAACATCCTGTATCTGTTTGTCTTTCTTAACATATGTACCGGGTGTGACCTTTGACGCTACTCCATCAGCCGGAATTTTGCGCTCGTATTGGCACTTCCCTGAGTGCAGGTTATTACGAGGACTGTTTCTTGTTCACATACTGGGAAACACAGACACATCACTCAGAATCTGTTGTTGCGCGTCATAAAAACGCCATTCATCCTGACAACACAGTAATAACGTGTTCGCGACACACACGCAACTATTGGTAAGGAGTACACTAACAGAGATTATCAATTGTTCTCAGTGACATAACAAGTACATCATGGTTTGGCAACCTCGTACAAGAGAGCAGTTTAATTTATTACTACGCTTAATGCATTTTGTTAAATTTAAATTTATCATGAATGCCAAACGCTTGGTTTATCAGGGCGCATATAAACCGTTTTTTGACGTTATCTGTTGAAATAATTTATACTTTTATATACAAAAACTGTTGATCCGTAAGCTGGTCGCCAGTGCCACCGATTACTAAATTCCAGTCACATAATAAAATTATGATTCTTCGCTGATTTCGATTAAAGAATCATGTGTCATACGGCATTAAATTTAATGGGTTTCGGTTTTTACAATGTTTTATTAGTACTTATCTATATCGTCGTACATGAACGTACATAATAACACACTACGAGGTATTAAGAATAATACACTAATAACACACTACGAGGTTTTTACGAGGTATTAAAAACTGTTTAATTGGAAGAAACAATTACACGATACACTTGGCCATCAAAGCCTACTGACGGCTGCATACCTGATCGGTTCGCGTGGGCCAGATACGAGCGCATCGTATGTCCGCTGCTCTTCTGCGTAGAATGGCTTACGTGTGTCACCGCGGGATTTAGCCGGCGCTGCTTCCGGTACTTATACAAAATTACCGGGTACGACGCCACAATCAGCACCTCCAGGACGCAGATAATCGTGGCGCACACTGCGATGGCCGTCATTATCATCCGACTGCTCGGTGTGCTCAGTGTACACTGATACCTAATATAATAAATTCATTAAGAACATGAAGTTCGTTATATGTACATGGAGATCTTTACATGCATAACCAGCTAGTGGTGGAATACGTTTTTGCTTTGAACTGTACTATATGTAGGTCTTGGTTTCGATTCCCGAGATTAACCTTATGACCTTACATGTATCTCATAAAGTTAAACCGAAGAAAAGTATTAAACCTTTATACAATAATAATGTATTTGCTGTTGTGTTGATGCGATAGAAATTACGGAACAAGCATATACACAGAACAAGCATATTACGGAACAAGCAGCTTGTACATTGAAAAGCATATGCTGCTGTAATTAGATACTAAAAGTATTACCGGTAGTACTGCAGTGCCGGTCCGTATACTTCCCGCAGCACAACCACCGGCAACATCGTCACATGCGTCATCAGGAATGCCGCGCCGCACAGAATGACGGCCAGTCGGGGAGTGTGGAAATCCCGGTATTCCACAGGAAAAACGATGGCCCAGAAGCGGTTGGCCGTTATTAGAACATGACAGAAGATGGCCCACGGTCCGATAATGTAAACACCGTAGAGATAGAAAGCGCAGACGTGCTCTCCCAGCCAGAAACGGTTGTAACCGCTTTGCACGAGGTACAGCGGGGTGTTGACGACGAAGGAGGTGACGATGCAGAGAGACAGATTTAAGACATATAGATAAAAAGCGTTGTGCAAGAGACTGTAGTTTGTGAGGATTAGCAGACAGGTTAGACCGTTGAGAAGGAGGGAAACCGTAGCGAACACCACGTCCAGAATCTGCGGCATCCCGAAGATGTAGCGTAACGGTGGTAACAGGATGGCGGTCCCGTTGGTTGCATTGGTAAAAATGGTCTCATTGGATTTCCCCATTAGGGTTTGGCTGATTACACTGGAAACGGTGGTCGCATTGACTTCTTCAATAATTGCTTCGATTTTCACAAGTAGCGGCGATAATGAGGTCATTGTCCCATTAGTGACACCGGTAACCACAGACGTCGCATTGGAAGTCTCCATAGTCACACGCTTTGCTATGATTAAACCAAACACTGTCGTTGTGTACAAAAACGGCGATTGATAATCATGGAATTGCTTGGGTAAATCTGGAAGCCGGGTTTTACCCTGGTTTTGAAATGAAGCCACAAAAATCGTAGGTTGTGTAGGATTATAACGGTTACACATTACAATACAGCACGCGACTACTTCGTGTACAAAATGAGAAACAGAGGTGCAGCCGGATTTATAAGGCATTCGCTGCCGGCAATTAGAATGAACAGCGGGACATCCATTAGCCTGTCGCGTCGCGTTAGAATAAGTTACTTTCACGGTGACATAAATACTTTTTAATGTATCGCATTATGGGTGCTTATAAATGACCGGAAAGAGCTCCAATGTGGGATCAATATACACTATTGGATGCTGCACGTGCATGTACGTGTTGCACATTTATCATGTAAGAGCATAGCGTAACCAGCCGGTATACATCCTCACACTTGATGAAGTTTCCGCTTGATAAAGCATTCGGTGGGCAGTATCCTGATTCCGTGATGTTAAAATTTAAAAAAAGCTAAAGATTTATTTACTTAAATAATATATGGCAAACAGTCGGACATGCCTAGTGTCGAATAAGCATGGTGCACATGTTTGCATTTCAACCTTTTGGAATCGAATTTCATTCCGAATGTTGTGTGTATATGAAGCATAAACGGTTTTCACGCCAGTATATGCAGGAATGTGATAAACCGATGTAAAAAATTCGGGAGACTATTTTGTCTTGTGTGCCTTTTACAGCAAAAGTTTAAAAACTCTTTTATTTAATATCTTTTAAATACATCAGTTAACAGCTGCAGAAATTACACGTGTACCGCAGTGTCGGTAAATTTTTTTATTGCCTCTGAAAACCAGTTTCCATGATGTTATTACGTACTCCAGTAAATGCTTTACATGCAGTGCTTTGCAAACAGTTTGTTTGCAACAGTAGCTGATTTTATCGGTCTCACCACTTCAAAAACTGTAATGTACAGATCTGTATTTACTATTCACTGTATAAAACTGCGAGCACGCCGCCGGTATGCGCTATACCCGGCTTATGGTAGAGGTTCGGCTTTGGTGAAAACTTGCACAGAGCTTCATTACGGCCATCCAGAATTTTGTTGTTAGTGTAAAATGGCTGTCCTCAGGATCCATAATGTCTGCTATCTGTTATGTTACTTCTCCCTGAAATTTACCGCAGTAAGAATTGTTTTCGCAAATACTGTGCATTATTAATATGCGTATATTATTACAATAATGAGTACTCATTACGTTTAACAAGATTCGTGGGTAAAAACTGGCGTGGATAGCCTGGGCGTCAATTTGGTTCGTTTCGATTTAATAAGAAGAATCGAGCGGTCTTTATACCTATTTATTATGGGCGCACCGTTTTTACAGACAATTCTTCGTCAAAATTTGTATGTGAAAACGGTCATTAATTTATGTGAATTTTTAAATAAGTACTAATTTTCCACGAAGATCTGTCTGTATAACTATGCGCCGATGAGTATTTAAACCGTTTGAAATCTTATTTCACTAATATCCCAACTGGATGTTCGCTTAACCTGATTTCACGCCAACGAATACCAATTAAGGTACCTGGCCAGGCTGGCCGTATATGGAATGTATTAGGATTCGTTTTACAAAGCTTTTAGGAATGGAATGATCAATCGCAATACCTTTAGCAAGGGGACCTGAATGTGAAGGATTTACCGGGTCAAATCCCATAACACGATGGATTATGAATCTATGTTAATTGTCATTGCAGGCAACGGACAGCCACCAGTCTCTCGCTTCACCAAGCAAGACAAGAGGAATGTGGAATCTACCTTCACCGCTGCCTAATCCGCCGGATGAAGTTGACGAGTGCCCATTCTGCCAGAAACCCATCGACCCACCCATCTTCTCCGTCAGCATTCCGCACGGACGCACCCGGAAATTAATTTGCCCAGCGGGTCCCGAGCGACCCAATGACGGGCTACCGGAACGCGGAAAGATGGCATGGGGACCGACGTTCGCCCGGGTGGTGGCGGCTGAATACAGTGCTACCGCCCAGGAAGAGCGTCTGCTAGAAACAAGCAAAACGGTGGATCCGGCGTGCCCAGATCTGGATGTCCTAGCCAAAGTAAAGGAGACGTGTAATGGAAAGGTTACGTCCTGTTCGTTTAAGGCGGACGATCCTTCGGTAAAAGCCGGCTGCTCCGGCCGCCCGTTGCTGGTGTATGTGGAGTGCCATCGTCCAGGCGGCGCTCGCGCTACATCTGTGTTGTCGATGACCAGATTTGCCGCATAGCTGACGTGTTTTGAAGTACAGAGGAATCCGTGTCCATGAGAAAAAGATAGTGTAGAAAATTTTTTTGCCTGATTTTTAAATCACTATTTAACCGTTCTAGCACCACGGACGGTTATTTCTGGTCGAAAAGCTTTCAAACTTTTTTAGAATTGTTATAAAAATACGGTGCTTCGTTAAACCTTTACGTTTTGCTTCAGATTATTGATTTATAGGATCTTTCGTATTATCTTTCCTATCTAACGTGGAATAAAATTTGACCATTGGCCATGACTGTGGGCCATTGGGTACGTTTTGGGACCTAAGTCGTACTTGCCAGTACTTACCAACCCATGCACAAAAAACGATAAGCACGTTTTACATAGTGATTTTATTATTTTTTTGTTATGGAATTAAAAGATGAGCAGCAGAATTGATCAAACGCTAGTTAAAATACCACGGCATCAACTAGTGAATCGTGAGCATAATATAAGAGACTTGTTCAGCGCGAAAGGCTGGTAATAATAACCTTCACGAACAGTAGCGAGTTCGCAGCTGCGAACGTGGCTGTTATCCAAGGCTGCTTTGAGCTACATAGTATTATCATCTCGATACAGTACCGGAAACTGCCAAAGTGGGGTAGCAAGAGAATGGTTAAAATAACTGACTTGTTGACTAGCAACCGAATTTGCCATCGGCATACCCTAAGCTGGCTAAGCATAATTCACAATCATAGGTAATCATCACGGAGCGCAGCGATATTCTGTGGTACTGTACTGAAATTAACTACAAAGTACAGTAAATAAATGTAACTACATGTACTGCAGTATGCAAACGGCACTGTAATAAACCTGCATAATGACTTACGTTTATTTTCTTTGGAATCTTTTGATGTATCTGTAATCGCCTTAGTTTTTTATTTAGTTTGTAATGCTGCCGCCAACAATTCATTGACTTGTTAATAGTATCCGGTTGTGAGCGGGGGTTCACTAGCGTTCACGTCCACGACGCTACGCCAGCTGGATTACGTGTCTGTGTTGTGTCTCGCTCTGATTGGCTAGTGGGCGCGGCATAGCACGTGCTGCACAGTGTTACACACTGTTGAATTGGCTCTACGATTTGCGATCGAGCTGCGCCGATCACTTGTTGATTTCTGTTGTGCAGATTTTCAATATTATTAAAAGTTGGCTATTAGCGGTGCGACGTCTCGCGATTCCGCGTAGTTCGCTATACATATCGCATAGCTCACTCCACGGGATAGATTCCGTTTCTGTCTCCGTCCCTGGATCCATTCTGGATCTAGCATTAGATGGTAGCAGAGCCGACAGCGGTTCTCTGACTGAATTGTGTCAGGCAAAGTTGGCCTGTTATCTGATGTGTTTTCTGTGACCAGTAAGGCACAGGTCCGTGCAACAGCAAAGCGCACACCACAAGCGGTGCAACTCCATCGGGACGCGGATTTCCAGCTTTGGTTTTCGGTACAGTGTCTTCAGCGAAGACCTGTGCTGTTTCCTCAGCTGAGCAAGAGTACAAGAGTTCAGTCGTCAGTGTTCCTCGGTGTAGAGTCTTCAGCGAAGACCTACACTGGTGTCACTGATACTCGGCAAGGATTCAGCGAATCCTAAGCCGTGGGCCACAAGCGGCGAAGCGCCAAAAGGGGTGCACGGGACAAGACCAGATCAGACTCCTCCAAACTGGAGTAGAGCGCCACTACTGTTGCTACGGCAGTCAGCCGGCACAGTAACTGACTAAAAGCGTGCGGCACAACCGCTACGGAAAAGCGGCAGCGCGGGAACGGAGTGTGGAGAAGAATCGGATCATCTGGATCATTTCCCCGCGGAACGGACGGTGAACAGGTAGAAAAGCCGTTATTAATTACGGGATTGGTTAGATGGTAAAATCGTCAATTTTTATTGGTCCGTACTGAGCTGAGCATAGAAGTAGGCGGAGTTTTGCACGCGGCACGCATGTCTGGCCGTTGACCGTGACGTCAGGCTGATATAAAATTTAAGTGGCCTAATGTGATTGGTCAGTTATCTGAGCTGTGATTGGCTGAAATCTGAACTGAATATTTTGAGCTAGTCGACCAATCAGAACGAAGTAAACAACGTAAATGGGGATTTTCCGCTGAACTTGAGTTGTAACGAGAATTTCGACTTGAGACTAGATATTTGAAAGGAAAAGTGACCTTTCGAGTTAAGACAAGGGAAAAGTGACCTTTAACTGAAATTGAGTTGGAAAGTGACCTTTAACTTGAATTGAACTGGAAAGTGACCCGTTGAACTTGAGTTGTAATGAGAAATAGGAATCGAAATGAGATATTTGAAAGGGAAAGTGACCTTTTGAGTTGAGTTGAACTGAAAGTGACCTTTTAACAGAAATTGAGTTGAAAGTGATTTTGAACTTGAAATTGAGCTGGAAAGTGACCTTTAACTGAAATTGAGCTCGAAAGTGACCTTTAAGTGAAATTGAGTCGGAAAGTGACCTTTAAGTTAAACTGAGCTGGAAAGTGACCTTTTAAGTTGAGTTGAGTCGGAAAGTGACCTTTGAGATCAGAAGTTGACCTTTGACCCCGAAAAGTGACCTTTACCGAAAAATTAAAATTGACTGAATTGACATCTCGAGTGACCTTTAAGATCTGCAAACGATCAACGGTGACCTTTATCGAAGTTAAAATTGCGTTGTAATAGTATAACGATATTAGCAGCAGTAGGATCTCATTCGTAAACGTGTTTTAAACTGTAAAAGCGGATTCGAAGTTTTGTCTGAAAAGTGACCTTTAGGGCAAATCTCTCGAAGTTTTTATTGAAAAAGTGACCTTTAAACGGAACTTAGTCGAAATTTTTCAACCGAAAAGTGACCTTTAAAAGGGACTTAAAAAAATTTCGAACTGTAAAGTGACCTTTAGGACAACTGAATAAACCATACGATAACGTGTGTGTGAGAACAATTGGCAGGAGCGTCAAAGTTATCCGATCAACATGGACAAAGACAATGTGGAACCGACATCTAACAGCAGCCAGGGAAGCAGGAGCTCCCGCGGATCACAGCAAGGCGCAGTCGATCCGTATAAGAAGGAATACAAGTCGCTCGCGCGTCCAGTCGGACACGATAGACAGACCCGAGCGGCTGTGACCTTTGCAAGAAAGGACAGCAAAGGCAGTGACATGACAGTACATACCAAGTGGCGCTCGGAGCTATACAGAACGAAGAGAGCTCCAGCGGTGACGGAAAGCAAACTCCCGCGTCTGCGGCGGGAGGCAAACCGATGAACCAGAAAAAGGTCACTGGTGAGGATGGAACCACAAAAATGGAAGCGGAGGCAGTTGGGGCATCACAGTTGGATGCTACCATTGTCAGAACAGAAGAGCAGGATAAAAACGCAAACCCGGCTCAAGTGGAAATGGAAAAGACAAAGGTTACCGAAGAAGAATTGGCTGAGCTCGGATTGAGTGACCTTTCGCTGAATGACAAAGCGGCAGACGATGACCTTTGGGCAACTCCAATGGTCTCAGATGAGTCCAATGAATCATATTTCACGGACGATGAAACGACTATGAATATGTCATTCCAATCCGCAATGAGACAAGCTGACCGTGCTGAAGGGATGACACCTTTCAAAGAGATACCGGAGCACCTTATTGAACGGACAACAACAGGAAAGGTCATCAACGTACAACCACCGTCACCTAACAGTCCCACGTCAACTCTGAAGAGACGCGTGAAGGAGTTGGAAGAAGAACTTGAAACCAAGGAAAGCCTGGTGGCGAAGAAGAAACAGGAATATCAAAATCGGATAGGATCTCTGGATGCTCGTATCTATGAACTGGAGCAACAACAAGCTGACTTGGAAAGCACAGCGGACGAATGGAAGATTAAATACGAGCGTCAAAAAGAGCTTGCTGAGGAGTACCTGAAAATGGTAGATGACAGAGAAATGGAAGGTCATCTCGCAGTCAGTGACCTTAACGAGTCAGCCGAAAGGTCACGGCACTTGGCGGAATTGAAGGACGAGTGTGACAAATTGCGTCAAAAGGTCACCGAAGCCGAAACTAAACGGGACGAATACGCCGCCAACCTAGCAGAGGCTACACAACGATTGACAAAGTTGGCGACGGAAACGTTTAAGCTCAGGAATGACCTGAAGCTGCGGGAGGAAGATGTCAGCACCCTGCAACACGAGTCGAAAGGTCACCAGAAACGGGCAGACGAAGCTGAAAAGTTACGCAACGACGCAATCAAAGAGATGCGCGAGGCAAGAGACATTACAGCCACTGAAGGGGAACGCCTGAAAGAAGAAATCGAAAAGGTCAACCGGGAGAATGAAAAGGTCATGGTAGACATTGAAAAGGTCACCAAGGAGGGACTTAAATGGCAGAAGGAAGCACGTCGAATGGACACAATGGTTACAGCATTGGAGCGGAAGGATAAAGTGTGGCAGCAACAAGTCGCAGAAAAGAGCCAGGAAGTTACGAGGCTAAATAGCGAACTACTCGAAATGACTACCACAGCACTGGCAAAGGATGATGAGTTGATCGCGATCAAGAATCAGCTGAGAGCAGCCGCTGGACAATATAAGCAACTTGAAAAAGAAACAACCGAGCTGGTCGAGCACATCAAAAGATGGAACAGGATAACGAAAAGGTCACGCAGCAAGAGACGTTTAAGCTGCACGAACACCTACGAAAGGTCGACTTGGAAAATTCCGATTTGAAGAGGCAAAGAGAGGAACTTCAGCTGCGAACTAAACGCCTTGAGGACGAGAATAAAGTCCTCCAGATGTCAAACAAACATAAGGATGAACAACTCGTTCAACATGGAGTCAAGGCAGCAACAGTGGAGTCTCCCCCGCCCAGTTACAGTAAAGCACATGAAACGGGCACGGGTAAAAGCTTCCACTTCGAGATGCCACTGCGAACCGGTACGGGCACCGGAAGTGTCAAAAACGAAAAGGATAGTGAAAAGGTCAAAGATGACAAAGAGCCACCATCAGGAGGCTATCCGCACATGAGTCACGGCGATCCCTCCCAATTTCCCCCGCATATTGAAACGAATGTGTATATTGACGAAAGGCTCAGGGACAGACCCCCCAGTCGACAAGAACGCCCTCGGAAGTCCCGTTACGGAAAGGCGAAACGAAACCAAAATGATGATGAAAATAGCGAAGAAGAGGATGACCTGACAGCAGAATCGACAGCGGCGCAATTGACAAAAGCGCTCAACTCGATGGCTCGGAAAACGACGTTAGTGACCTTTGACGGAAGTCGCGATGCAGTCAATGGCTGGACACAACTGGTCCGAGACACTCAGCGAACTTATCAACTTACGGACGACCAGGTCCTGATCGAAATAGCTAGCGCGGTGAAAGGACCAGCAAAAACTTGGTTCGAAGGCGAGAGGGAAATCGCACTCCAGGAAGAGATGGAGTATACGATAACAGAATGGATGAACAAATTCAAAGACGAATACGGTGACCGTGATGAAGAAGTCCTCGGCTTACGAGAAGCCATGGCAAGGAAATTTGACCTTGGAAAGGAATCTCTTGATCAGTTTTATCAAGCGATCATGAAATACAAGGCGAAAAGGATTATTACTGAGAAGCAAGCAGTCGGCTTCCTTATCGAAGGATGCAGAGCGGACAGTGACCTTTATAAGGCACTGCGCACACAGCAGTGTAGAACGCCAAACCGAAATCAAAGATTTCTTCCGACATTGGTCAGCTGGAGAAGAAAAGTACAAAGCACCGAAAGGTCAACGCAACCAGGACTATGTCACAATTCGCACAGGACAAGTTGAGAATGTGCCACAACAAAGGATTGCGGCAGCACCGGTTCAACAGGCGGTTGAATACCGCAGAGAAGCCCCGGTGCAAGAGGTCACAAAGGAGGTGACCTTTATCGATAGCCAGACGGGACAGCCACTTACATACGCAATGGTAGCTGCGATACAGGCGGCGGCTCAAGTGAGACCGGTACCTCAGAATGTGGCTCCACCGGCACCACAGAATGTGGCCCCTATGAATGCAGGATTACCACAACAAGGAGTGGGCAATGGAAATTTCGGTGGAAACGGATATGGTAATGGAAATTGGAATGGAGGTCAAGGGAACTTCCAGAATCAAGGTCAAGGTCAAGGCAACTTCCAGCCAAATAGGGGAAACCAGAATAACTTCCAGCAGAATCAGGGGTCACGAACGGAATTCAAGTTTCAAATGATTGATGGATGGGTTGCAAACGGTGTACAGATGTGCCAATACTGTATGTATGGCAATCATCAGACCCAGGGATGCAAGTTCGCGAATACGCCGCCGGATCAGAACCCGAACTTGTTCGCTTTCAGAGAGTGGCAACGGCTGCGCAATTCGGGCGGCTGGCGACAGGCGGTGGCAAATGGATATGACCTGATCGCTCAATGGTATCAGGCCAAAGCGAACTTTCAGCAAGGAAACGGAAATTATGGAAACGGAAATGGTGGCCAAGGCGGTGGCAACCGTGGCGGCTTCCGCGGCGGCTTTAGAGGGAGAAACAGAGGCTTTGGCCGCGGAAATTGGAATGGCGGCAACCGAAACGGCGGAAATGGAGGCGGCCAAGGAAACTACCAACAGGGTGGTGGCCAAAATAATGGTGGTGGCCAGAATAACGGAGGCGGGCAAAATTATGTCCCGGTAAATAACGGCGGACAAGGAAACGTGCAAGGAAACGTGCAGGGCGCGCAACAAAGTGGTGCGCCGGTTCAGGGAAACGGGCAAGATCAGTAGGCACCGGTGAGCCTACTGATCGCCCCGACCCTAAACCACCGGATAAAAGGGAACGGAAAGGTCACCACTGCAGAATGGTACTGCAGTGAATGTGACCACTGCAACGGCTATAAGGATGCCGTTGGCGAAGAAAGAAAGTGGACCGGCTATATGGATGCCGCAACCACAGCAAACGGCTATATGGATGCCGCCACAGCAAAGCGAAACGGCTAAATGGATGTCGTCATTGCAAAAGGAAATTGAAACGGCTATAAGGATGCAGCAAAAAGAACTGGTTATCGGGAAACCAGTACAAGTGGATAAAAGGTCACCGCAGAATGGTACTGCGAGTGGAAACGCGCAACGGGACCAAAGGTCACCGCAGAATGGTACTGCGAGTGGAAATTGTCGTGACGGTAGCGCGACACTGCGAACAGCGCAGCAAAATGAAAGGTCACCGCACTGCAGCGAAGAAGTGCTGGCGCAACGACGCGCACAACGGAATGCAAAGATTAAACAGGCGTTGCTGAACCAGAAGAAACCGCAGAACGATACTGCGCAAGAGGTAAATGAGCAACATGCAAAATTCCGGAAATACTTGGCAGAGAACGATAAGGCGAATGAGCCAAGTTGCGATTGTTACGGGGAACCAAAACTAAAGTTTTGGAATTGTTCCGAGGACGAGGAAGAGAAACTGATAAGGCAAAAATGGATGGAACAGAATATCGCTGTTACCAGTAAAGATGAAAAGTCACCTTCCGTAGGAAAAGTCCAAGTGAAAAGTAAAGGAGCAAGTGCGAACGCTAAAGGTCACGGCGACAGCGTCGTGTTAAAAGGTCAAGAAACAGACTTGACACTGCGAACAGCGCAGCAAAAGAATAGCGAACAGGCACAACAAAACTCCGACGACTCACTTGTGGATGCAGTAACGCTGCAACGGAAGGAAATATGGCAAAAAGTGGCCTACAGACCGAATGGGAATCACGGGATGTGGATACCCGTGACACCGAAAGCGAAACAAAAAAGTGGAATGTCACAAGAAGATTACTGGGACATGCGAGAACTGCGAACGCAACATGAAAGAAAACGACTGGAAGAATTGGTTACCGGGAAAGAAGCTAAAAGGTCACCGAACCTTGCTCCAGTATTCAACGCAACTGAATACAAGAATGCACAAGCTGACCTGAATAACCCGCGAAACGCACCACCGAAAGATAAACCGTCGAATTACGGAGAAAAAGTTCCCATACAAAAGCTGTCTAGCGGCGGATTTGTCATAAAGCGCAATGAAAGGTCACAGGACTTAGCGCGAAATGAACAGAAAGGAGGGTCAAATGAGATGGCGCAAACACAACAGAGTAGTGCAGTTGAAAGGTCACGGGACTTCTCACAAGCGCTACAAAAGGATGCCAATGACAAGTCACCAGCCCGAACAGACGGGATGTCTTCGCAAATCGACCCGACAAAAACGAACAATGAAGTGTCTGCAAAAGTGATTGAATGGATGACCGAAAAGGGATATGATATGGTAACATATGAAAGGTCACCAAATGAGATGAAAGACAGCGAAGCAGACGACTTGAAGCAAGCTGACCAAATAACAAGTGAAGTCATTGAGAAGCTGCGGGATAAACGAAATGAAAACCGCAAAGAGGAACTGATCCACGAGACGATAAATGAAGTGACTAAAGGTCACGGGGAAAGCACAAAAGCAAATCCGCAAGTGCAGAACGTTGAAAAGGTCACCAGTGGTAAAATGGCTGCAGAGAAGCAAGCAGATAAGAAGAAGCCGCAAAAATTCTACGACGTTCGAATTAACGTCCCACACAGGATTGACAAGCTAAGCGAAATACTGAAAGGTCACAGTACTTCAGCGAAAGGGCAAGCGCTCCCCGATATGGATCCGGGACCAGTATCGTTAATTCCTGTGAAATGTAAGATACACACATTGAAGATTCAAAACGGAAAATTGCCCAAAAGAATTGAAGCGTACACTCACGAAGTGAAAGTGGGAGATATAAAGGTCAACGCAATGCTGGACACCGGCGCTGAGACGTCGCTGATCAGCAAACCGTTTTGTGAGACAAATGGACTTCATATGCTCCCATTGCCACCAGACAGACTGGTGAAGATTAACGGAATCAGCGGAACGTCAGGATTCCTGGTGACGCATTACTGCTTAGCACCAGTGACCTTAAGAAAAAAGACTAGTGAACACTCCTTCTACGTCCGACCGAAATGTGATGACGTACAGGTGTTACTTGGATTTGACTTCTTAGAAAAGAAATTTGTACTGATGGATAATGAAGGGGAAGAAGAAAAAGAAGATGACCCCAAACCAGTCGCCAAAGTTCAAGTCGGAAAGGTCACCGAACTTGTAAAACAGACGGGGAATGCTCAGACTGATAATAAGGTGCTAATCCCAGTACCAGAGGCACCGGGAAAGGAGCAGAAAAAGGTGGCGCAAAAAGAATTGTCGACATTTGAGCAGTTGAAACTGATCCAACAGGAGATCGAAAATACATTAAGCCGGACACTGCTGACACAAAAGGGAAGAGAAAAGGTCATCCCAGTACCAGAGGCACCGGGAATGACGAGAGTGCAGCAAAACGAGATTAGCCAACGGACAATCCCGGTACCAGAGGCACCGGAGAAGAAAAGTGAAAGTGGAAATGTCAAAAAAGTGAACGAGAGAAAAAAAGAACCGCTTGCGCCAGATACGGATGAGGCGATCATATTTCTCCCGGACGGGAGAAGTATGATCGCAGATAACGGTGAGCAAGGAGCCACAGAAAAAGAATATGTCGAAAAAGTTATCCCAGTACCAGAGGCACTGGGAAAGGAAAACGAAAGGTCACCAGCGACAAGAGTTGTGAACTTGAAACCAGAGCGCGCTTCGAACCTTTTCGAACCTCGATCTGCTATTGAAAATGACGAAAGGTCACCAGCACTCGAAGAGATAGCTGCCACACACAAAG